AAGAGAGAAAGAACTGAATGAAGCAATTTCAACTGGTCAGTCAATCTTCTTCCTTTTCTCTGATTACTCACTTCTCTCTCTATCTCTCTCTCTCTCTCTCTACATGTATCTCACTCTCTCCTCTTCACTTTAGGCGACTTCAGTAAATTATCAGAATCATTTCAATCTGAACAATTATTTAACCTCACTTCCTCCTCCTCCTCCACTGATGCTCTCATTCGCTCCGGACTTTTAACACCTTTTGGAACCACACCCACTTTACCAACCAACCGACCACATGATAGTCACACGACTAAAAGAAACAGCTCGTCACCCGTTGTTACTCTAGCCGATTTTGATTGGCTAGGACCTTCTAATGATGACAATGATCAGTTAAAAAATAACGTTTCTAAGAGAACCAATAAAGAAGGAACATCCCTGGCCACGAGCAGTAATAAGAAAATGATTGATACTGAAGTAGAAAATGAGTCCAGACTACTTGCATTGAAGAATGAAGATACAAGAGAAGAGAGCATTAGTAATAGAGCAGGGCCTGCTACCAGCAGTAGAGGAGAGCCTGAGAGTGATGATAGTTCTTATACAACTGACGAAGAGCTAGGGGTGTCTAAGAAAAGAAGAAAGAGAGCAATCAATGAGGAGGAGAGTGAGGATGAACTAGTACAAGTTAACTGGCATGGGAAGAAGAAGAAAAAGAATGGAGGAGTGCGGAGCAAAGGAGATGATGGAGACGATGGAGTATATAAAGCAAGAATGAGGTAGACAGACATGTGTGAGGGATTTATCATTTTATTGTTAAGTTTCTTTCTCTTAGAGATTATAAGGAGAGGTTTGGCGAGGGAGAAGAAGCAGCTGTTGTTGTTGAAGATGGTTTTAGAGTACCTAGTAGCATCTGGCATAAACTATACAGGTGAGGTCTACAATAATAATGTCCCACTCTCCTCTCTCATTTATCTCAGGTACCAGCAGACTGGTGTTAAGTGGCTGTGGGAGCTGCACTCGCAGCAAGCAGGTGGAATAATGGGGGATGAGATGGGGCTAGGGAAGACAATAGAAATGATAGGATTCCTTGCTGGACTCAAGATTAGTAATGTACGGAGTCATGTGACACGGTAAGGAGAACCTCAAATAGAAAGACATTCTATACATTGCTACTCTTAGTGAGCTAGGTCTTGGGCCTATATTAGTAGTCTGTCCAGCTACTGTCCTTCATCAGTGGGTCCATGAGTTTCACAGCTGGTATCCTCCTTTCAGAGTGGCTATATTGCACGATACTGGATCTTATGGTGGCAGTAAGGCCTCACTGCTCAAGAGAATGGTCTCGGCTAATGGCGTCATTGTTACTACTTATGCTAGTGTGAGGCTTCAGACTGATCTTCTCCTCAGGCACCAGTGGGAGTACGTCATACTTGATGAAGGACACAAGATTAGAAACCCTGATGCTGATATAACTCTAGCATGCAAACAAGTAATTACCAATGAATGTAGTACCATTTAAGTAAATGATATTATTACTGTATAATACATTTTAGGTATTACATTGTATGTATTCTTGTTATTATTTTGTTGTTGCTATTGTTTGTAAATGGGTTCCCACAAAGGATGCTTCTTAGCTGACAACCACTACAATAGACATGTAGGTACATGATTTTGGAGCGACTTTAAAAATTCATAAAAAATTCAATTTTGATTAGAATCAGTTCAAACTTTCAAGAGACATAAGAACACGTATAATTATGTATTGGAAAAAATTATAAAAATAGAAAATTCTCTCCTAGTCATTTTGGCAAAATTTGACCAAAGACCCTGTACTACAGTACAGGGACTTTCTCCTGATTTTTTGCAACTTCAAAAACTCGTAAAAAAATTCACAACATAAGAACATGTATATGTATCAGAAAAAATTAGAAAAGGGGAGAAACCTCACCTAGCCATTTTTCACAAAATTTGGCCAAAGACCCTGTACTATAGTACAGGTACTTTGGTCTGATTTTTGAACAACTTTAAAAATTCATTAAGAAATCCAATTTTGATCAGAATCAGCTCAAACTTCTACACAATATAAGAACATGTATATGTATCAGAAAAAATTATAAAAATGAAGAAATCTCACCTAGCCATTTTTGACAAAATTTGGCCGAAGCCCTGTACTATAGTACAGGGACTTTGGTCTGATTTTTGAGCAACTTTTAAAAATTCATAAAAAATTCAATTTTGATCAGAATCAGCTCAAACTTTCTACACAACATAAGAACATGTATATGTATCAGAAAAAATTATAAAAATGGAGAAATCTCACCTAGCCATATTTCATAAAATTTGGCTGAAGACCCTGTACTATAGTACAGGGACTTTTATAGTACAGGGACTTTGGTCTGATTTTTGAGCAACTTTAAAAATTCATTAAGAAATCTAATTTTGATCAGAATCAGCTCAAACTTTCTACACAACATAAGAACATGTATATGTATCAGAAAAAATTATAAATAGAGAAATCTCTCCTAGTCATTTTTAGCAAAATTTTGCTAAAGACCCTGTACTATAGTACAGGGACTTTCACCTGATTTTTGAGTAACTTAAAATTAAAAAAAATTAATTTTGATTGGAATCAGGTCAATCAGCTCAAAATTTCAATACTACACACTAGCATGTATTATTTATTTTTAAAATTATAAAAATGGAAAAATCTCTCCTTGTGGATTTGAAAAGCATATGGTATTTTGTCAAATTTTGGAGCAATCCACTAACAAAAAGCTCCATGAGCACTATGCTAGAATCCTGTGGGAAGCCCTGGCTCATGTCTCCTTCTCTTTTAGTTTCCCACTCCTCACCGCATTATCCTCTCCGGCTCTCCTGTACAAAACAACCTAAAAGAGCTTTGGTCACTATTCGATTTTGTCTATCCTGGCAAGCTTGGAACCCTCCCCGTCTTCCTTGAGCAATTCTCTGTTCCAATTACCCTCGGGGGATATGCTCACGCCTCACAGACTCAAGTTGAGACAGCTTACAGATGCGCCTGTATATTAAGGGACACCATCAACCCTTACCTATTGAGGAGGCTTAAGAGTGACGTCAAGTTGCAGCTGCCTAACAAAAATGAACAGGTACTTAATTTATACATTATATTAATAATAATAATAATAATAATAATATAATAATAATAATAATATTATAATAATAATAATATTATAATAATAATAATAATTAGTAAAAAATAAAATCAGAACTCATATTAATTAAATTAGTTTTTGTTGTTTTTATTTGTTATTAATAATTAATTTTAGGTTTTGTTTTGTCGATTGACTGACTATCAACGTGAGCTTTATGAGGAATACATAAAAGGGCCTGAAGTAGAGGCAATGATGAGAGGGGGAAAACAAGTAAGGGCTGGAGAAGAAAATAGTCACATACAGATTTATAAACTCTTTTTTCCATTCACTTCAGATCTTCTCTGGTTTAATGACTCTGCGTAAATTATGCAACCATCCTGACCTGGTAACAAAAGAGTATCAGAGAGAGAGAGCAATGGCTGATGGGAGGCAGCAAACAACTGGAGAAGGAGGAGGCTCCGTTGAAGAAGAAGAGGAAGAAGATGGTGCTGGTGTTATAGAGGTCAGTTCTAAGAGGCTAAAGGTCGCTGGTGGTGTAAGAGATAGTGAGGAGGAGTCCTACGGGTTTTGGAGACGCTCGGGAAAAATGATAGTCATTGAGTCACTGCTGAAAATGTGGTTAGGCCAGAAACACAAAATATTACTATTCTCTCAATCAAGACAAGTAGGTGGATATCTTTATTATTATTATTATTATTATTATTATTACTCTTAATTTTATTAATAATTATTATAATTCATATGATACCTATTATTATTCTATTATTATTAGGCACCGTATAGCGGGAAATTTTGGAGGGACTAAAATTTGGTGAACTGCTAAATTTTGGTGATTGGCGAGTTTGTAGCCATGTGCCATTGAGCATGCGTATAATGGCTCAAAACAGCGGATTTTATTTTGGCAAATGGCTATCAATACACCGAATTCACCAAATTTAATTCCCTCCAAAATTTCCTGCTATATGGTATTATTTACTCTTGTTCATATGTACATGTAGTTATTGTTATTTTATTATTGTTTTTATCATTAGATGCTTTATATTTTGGAGAAGTTCCTCATATCCAATAGTTACACTTACCTGAGGATGGACGGTACTACCTCCATTGGTGCAAGGCAAAAACTAATCAAAGACTTTAACGAAGTAAGAATAAATAAGAGGAGGAGGAGAAACAGATATATTTCCTTAATTTAGGATCCTTCTATTTTTGTGTTCTTGTTAACTACTCGAGTTGGGGGGCTAGGGGTTAACCTGACAGGGGCTGATAGGGTACTTATATATGACCCAGACTGGAACCCTAGCACTGATACACAGGCAACAGATAATAATAAAACTACCTAACATTATATTTATATATTAGGCAAGAGAAAGAGCCTGGAGGATAGGACAGACTAAGCCTGTTACTATCTATAGACTACTAACAGGTGGAACTATTGAAGAAAAGGTCTATCATAGGTAATTAATAGTGATTTAATTTTATAATTTATTAATTATTTTAGGCAGATATTTAAGCAGTTTCTCACTAATCGTGTCCTCAGAGACCCTCGTCAGAGAAGGTTTTTTAAATCAAATGATTTGTACGAGTTATTCACGCTGGGCTCTTCGGACGGGCTCCATAAAACAGAAACAAGCTTCATGATATCTGACACCGACTGCGAGATAAAGTTACCAAGAAAAGGAGGGAAAAGAAAAAGAGGCAGGAGCAGCACAACAACTGAAAAACATATAGACCAGAGCTCAAAGAAAGACACTGATACCAAGAGTAAATTAACTAGTAGTCAATTGACTATTGATAAGTTAACTACGGATAGCAGTGGCAATACTGCAGCATCTTCAAATCCAAACCTTATTATTGATACTGAAGATAAGAGAGATGAAGCAACAAAGGACTCTAAGAAGAAATCAATGGAAACTGAGCCAACAACACTGACTGAGGAAGAAATGATGTTAATGTCATCCAAGAGGAAAAAGAAGAAGAAGAGAAGGAGAAAGAGTGGGAAACCAGTTGAAGTAGAGGGGCAGGCCATTAGCGGGATAGAGTCATTAGATGCATTTAGTCCAGGGAATGAAGATGAAGAGAACGCTACTAGTAATAGACAAGACGACTTCATACTAAGGAAATTATTTAAAAAATCAGGTACACCTTTAATTCTCTTCGAATATTATTTTGTATTTTTGTGTTTCCGATAGGCGTACAGACAGCATTAAAGCATGATAGTTTGGTTGAAGGAGGTGACCCTGACTCTATCATCATTGATACAGAAGCTAACAGGATAGCTCAGAGTGCAGCTAGAGCCCTGAGAGAGTCTTGTAGGCAGTGCCAAATTGGAGGGAGAGGAGGAGCTGCTAACTGGGGGCAACCAACTTGGACTGGACAAAATGGAACCATTGGAGCTCCTAAGTACATCAGAGGAGGAGAGAGGGGAGGGAGAGAGAGAAAGGGGGAGGGAGAGAGAGAGGAGGGAGAGAGAGAGGGGGGAGGGAGAGAGAGAGGAGGAAGAGAGAGAGGGGGAGGGAGAAAGAAAGGGGGGAGGGAGAGAGAGAGGGGGAGGGAGAGAAAGGGGGGAGGGAGAGAGAGAGCGAGGGGAAGAGAGAGGGGAGGAAGCAAGGTTGCTATAGTCTTTTCTTTATTTTTAGGTTTGGAGAGCCTTCGAAAGATATTCAAGTAATTACTACTTATTTACTATCACCATATAGTATATGCACTATAATGTGTACTTACATGTACATGTACATGTCATGTCAGGGTTTCCTACAAAACATGCTAAGTGAGCTAAATAGCATGACATGCTTTATGAGCTAACAAGCACTACAATACAGTATATGGCATTTGGACCAACTATAAAAATTCATAAAAATCTAATTTTTATTAGAATCAGCTCTACATAAGAACATGTATATGTATCGGAAAAAATTATAAAAAGAGAATTCTCTCTTTAACAAAATTTGGCCTTTGGTCATTGACCCAATTTTTGAGCAAATTCATAAAAAAATTTAAACTTGATCAGAATCAGCTCTAATTTTCTACACAATGTAAGAAGTTAGAACATATATATATATATATCAGAAAAAAATTATTATTAAAATGATGAATTCTCTCCTTGTGACTTTTGTCGAAATATCCTGTAGAGGGTCTTTGGCCCAATTTTTGAGCAACTTCACACAAGATGCTACATGAGCACTATGCCAAAACCCTGTGGGAAGCCCTGTGTACATGTACATGTACATGTAGTTCAATGAAAACCTAATTACAACTTATGTTACTACTTAAGTTGGCAATGAAGTCAAAAGTTTCTATTAGTATTACTATAAATAAACACACACACACACTCATTCAATAGATAACAAAGACTCTTTTCACTGGAACTAGCATCAGGAATGAGACTGAAGGCTCATTAACACTCTCATCCAATGTACTACTAAGAAAGATGAGGTCAAGGAATGCTCTCACTCTCCTCGAGACAGGAGGAGCCAGCAGCAGCAGCAGTGGTCTACACTCCTCCAGCAATGTTGAGCTGTTGAGAGACTTAAGAACATTTATAGCTACCCAAGCAAAGAGACCAGGGAAAGCTACTACTGATGAGATATTAAATAAGTTTGGAGGAGAGAGACTCTCACCTGCTGAATCAGCTGTATTTAGATCAATGTTGCATCAGATATGTGATTTTGAGCGTTATCATGGTGACGGGCTGTGGTCATTAAAGGCAGATTATAGATGATATTTTTGTACCATTATTTATCATTTAATTATTACTATTATTCCGACATGCTTAATATATTCATTCATTGATAAGTATCAATTTAATCATTAAATTAATTATTCAAATATTAAGGTTGGCTCTTGTTACAGATATATGATATAAACAATATACTATAATATTAGTTTCTTTATTGCCAAGGTCTGCTGATAGTCACTCTATTAATATCAGCTAGTTTAATTGAAGTGGGCGTATCAGCGTCAACGCAAATGAACTCAAGGTGAGCAGCAGGATCAAGAGTAGTCGTAAAAAGAGACTTTGAATTTCTCTGAAGAGCATCAACAATGATACCATCAGTACCAATGAGGTAACCAGCTTTGGTCGCTCTAAATTTGAGCTCTGAGTTGGCAAGCCTGTCATACGGTACACCAGTACAAGCCTTCAGTTCACCGTAGAGCTTACCCCCGGACTTCAAATGAACGATATCCCATGTGGGTATAGTGTCCAGGGTCTCTTTGTACCTAGAATAAGAGCTGATCCAGACAGGCCACATTGGATACCACTCAACAAACCATCGACCCCAACTCGTCTTAAAAGTATTACCAAGGAACTCGTCCAGTTTTGAGTATGGCACAATGTTAGGGTGTGAGAGGCAGTCCTCGCTGAGTATGCACTCTTCCTTTATGAAGAGGACCCAGTATTCGAAATAAGAGGAACGGGTAGGGCCCATCTTGCTTTCTATGTACTGCTTGAGTGCTTTAAGTTTCTTCTGTGCTATGAGCACAGGATTGGTTACTCTTGTTGTCATTAGTGTTACTAACGTGTTCTCTGTCCCGTTCGAGGCAGTAGAGGAGGAAGATGAGGAGCTAGTAATAGGTACTCCTTCCACTCTCTCTTGTCTCGTCCACGTGCTGTCATTCTCTTTTTGATACCTTCCAGACCATGTCACGACTTCAAACAGGTGTATTTTCGAGGAGGTAAGGAGGACAGCGTCTATCCTCTCGTGCTGAGTGTAATCATAAGTAACTCTGAGACCTCGAAAGAGAGTGTCAGTCTTTATGCCACATCTACCAGCAAAGTTTGAAAAGAATTCTTCTTTGAGAGACAAATTCTTTAGTGCCACTTCAGACATGTTTAGAGATTTGAGATTAATAACCAAAAGTTAACTAACGAGAAGTTAATAACCACACATTTGATTGAAAGCGTGGGTGTATGACAATGGCTACCAATTGTGAAGCATGTGAAGTTTCAAAAGCGAACTCAAAAGTACAGTTGGAGGATGCCAGCCCAAAATCAAATGACTCAGTTGGACCAGTTCAATATAAACTATATCCTGTTCGATACTTGATGTTAATAGCACTGATAGTTTTGAATCTTAGCAATGGAATAATGTGGCTAAGTTACTCCCCAGTTCCTAGTCTAACTGCTAGTTACTATGGTATCAGTTTGTCTGAGGTTGACTGGTTCTCTAATAGTTACTTTATTTCTTCTCTTGTCATGGGGTTTTTTAGTATTTTTGTACTGGATGTCTTTGGACTCAGAACAGCCATCATAATTGGTACAGTGTGCAACCTACTAGGTGGTGTATTGCGCTACATAAGTACAATGGATCCCATTATTTGCTCAGACTCTAAAGCTGGTTTCATCACTGCCATAATTGGACAGATTATCACAGCCTTTGCTCAGCCATTCATTCTATATGCACCAGCGAAACTTGCAAATACATGGTTTGGAGCTAAAGAGAGAGGTCTTTGTACAGACCTTGCTTCGGTTGCTAATCCACTTGGTGTTGCAATTGCACAGATAGCATCACCATATATTGTTACTGACATTCAAAAACTACCAGTAATGTTATGGGTATATATTATTCCAGCTGGTATTGGTGCTCTTTTCTCCATATCGTTTATTTGGCGTTCCTCTCCTGCCATTCCTCCAACTTCCAGTCATGATACTGCACACTTGCCATTCATTAAAGGACTAAAAAGTGCTTCCAAAAATTTGAATTTTTGGGTTCTCCTAACAACATTTGGTGTAAGTGCTGGGGTATTTACTACCGTCCAAATTATAGTACCTCAATATGTCTGTCCTTATGGATACTCAAACAAAGCTGCTGGTTTATGGGGATCATTGTTGATAATATTTGGTGTAGTTGGTGCTACACTATCAGGACTATTGATAAGCAGAATCAGTGGACTGTACAAAGAGATAGGAATAATCTGCCTATCATGTACCACACTATCAATAATAGGCTTTGTTGAGGTATCTACTATACAACACATTCCTTTTGTGTTAGCCTTTTTTCTTTGTGCTACTGGTTTTTTTGGTCTTGGATTCCTTCCTGTTGCTATGGAGTTAGGGGTCGAGGTAACATTCCCAGCTGCTGAGGCTACCAGCTCTGGTTTACTGTGGAGTGCAGCTCAGGTATTTGGATTTTTATTTGTAACTATTGGTCAACTGATATCTCCAGTCATTGATTCAAGTACTCTCTCGAATGATCAATGTCAAGTTTCTTTTCCAAGCTCTAATGACACCATGTCACTCTGTAATGGTCATCGTTCCAATCATACACTCACTGATAATGCAAAACCACAGGATTGGACCAACTGTGGCATCTTTCTGGTTATCATGATGATGCTTGCTTTCTTGATGTTTGTGGTGTTTTTTAAGAGAGACTATAAACGAATGGAATACGAAGAGAGAAGGAAGACTACTGGAGAAGCAGGCAGTGACAATTAACAACAAATTTAACTTATAATTTCTAATATTCAAAAAGTTTTTATGTATAAGTTTGAGCTGTTTTTGATTGATTTTTAATGGTTGTTCTAAATTTTAATTACGAAGTATTTTGCCAGGATAGAATCTGATACATAAACTCTACACGTTCTCATCTTGTTGAGACTGATTTCGATCAATTGGAGTTTATAAAGTTGCTCAAAAATTCAGCCAAATACTAGATTTATTCTCATACATATAAGCATCCTTATGCTATAACCTATACACAAACTTTGAGCTCATACTCATTTAAGTTTGGATTTATTACAAATTTTTAAAACCTCAAAAAAGGCCGAAGTTGAAAGTCCCTGTGCTATAGTATATAGATTTTTTAAAAATAAAAGTAGAGATTTCTCTACTTTAATAATTTTTTTCTGATACATATACATCTATTTATTTTGCGTACAAATATTGAGCTCATTCAAATCATCAAGTTTAGATTTTTTACAAAAATTAATTTTAAATTTGCTCCAAAATTGCACCAAAGACCCTCTCAGTTTGTTATGCTTAGAACCTTACAAATAAAGGCTCAATTTCTTCTGGCCAAAGTCTGTAGGAGATGTTGGGACTTGGGAGTCAGAGGAAGCACTCAGACAATGCCGAGGACAATGCTCACTTGCTAGCTCAGACTCCAGTCTCCAGCTCCATTCCAAAAAGAAGGCGGGGCTGGAGCATGGGGCTTGAACCATAGATAATAGAGTAAAGAAATATCTATGGTTGAACCGGTTGATCTGGTTAATTGACTAGCTTCGAGAGCCTGGGGACGAGGCTAGTTGATTGACTTGATTCCTTGAGTCCGAGAACTGTTGTTATCCAAAGATTGTAGCAGGTCTCTTAAGACTATGGGGCTCATTGCACATACAGGTAGGTTTATGGGTATCTGTCTGTGAGCTAGACTATGAACAATGGATTTACTTCAGTTATAAATGTGACTGTTTACAAACAATGCATGTGTGGTGTGTGTGTGTGTGTGTGTTCATGATATTAAGCATTTCTATTTGGTTTACTCAAGCAGCGTGCATGTCTTTTAATGTACCAGAGTCTAATCCAGTCATTGTAGCTTGTGTTATATATATATATATATGAACTTTGATTCCTTTTCAAACTCACCTTCAACTCATGTCATTAATTTTTTTCTTTCACCTTGGCACACACATAATATGCACATGACATGCACTTGTTTTTGTTAGATAGAAGCTGATTTTTCTCTTTCAATTGACTGTATTTGCTCATAAAGACATGCGTAAGAGACGAGTCTCTCCTATCTTTACAACATACTGATAACCAGCAATACCAGGTAATGTATTTATTTATCTTCTTCTCTCATTCAATCTGGTGCATATATTCCTACAGCTGGTATTGTTCTGACAATAAACTCTGCTGTGCTACAGTTTCTGATTCAAGGCTTAAGAATGGAAATTTAATATTCTTGGCAAGTCATTTCATTTAATATCATTATTATAATCTATTTTTGTAATTTTATTGATGATACTGATAGCTACAATAATTATTGTCTTGATATTCTTGAGCTGTCTCTTTAGTTTAGTTGCTTACGAGCATATTGTCTTTCTAGGTTTGCTTGTTGTTCAGTCTCGCTACAACCTTTAGCAAGTTTTTATAGTCAATGGTAAGTTTTATGTGTGAGTATGCATGGCATGTTTCATTTTGTTTTAATGTTTTAATTTAAGAGGGTTTGGTTTTTTGTCAGACAGTAGTGGCATGAGTGCTTTCCATTATGGATTTTTAAGGAACAACCCAATTCCCTTTGAAGATTCCATTAAAAATCCTTTTTTTTCATGCTGCTAAAATAACATCCTGCCTTTGTTATTGGAATCAACTAGCACCTGGACAATTGTGTGGTTGGAGGGCTGGCTGTGGGTTTTTGGTTTATTGTGTGTGTGTGTTTGTGCATGTGTGTGTGTGAGTGACTCTGTGTGTGTGTGTGTGTGTGTATGTGTGTGTGTGTGTGTGTGTGATGAGTTGGTGACCTCTATGCACTTAATACCGTATAGTGGATTTCTGTCATTCAGTTAAAATTTTGTTCTCAAATTAAACCCACAAAATTACGAAAACGCACGTTCATGTGTATACACAGAGTGGATGTGTTGACCCAACAAAAAACCTGCTATAGCATTCATTGGACAAAACCAGCGTTTTAGGTATGCATTCTAGTCTACATGCACTATCGCCTAAGTAGCTATGATTTGGTTTTGCCCCTTAAAACTGGTCATTTTTGGATAAAGTTTCTATAGTAAATTTGGCCTGCACAGTTAATTCACATATACCTATGCCACTTGAATACTACTTCCTTGTCTGAATACATGCCAACAATGATGGGTAATTGGGTATGGCTCCAGCTAGGACTGAGAAGTGGGGTAGAGACCAAAGTGTGGATATTTTTTGGTGCATGCAAATTAAGTGCATACAAAAGATGTGCTAATCAAGCTAAGCATACTTTTAAACTTCTTTTAGTTTGGCTAAACAAACATTTCACTGATACTTTTAGAGGTTCTCTAACTTTTAAGTCTTTAGGTCATGTCCTGACTCCTGTTACTGAAATTCAAGATTTTTAAATTTGCCTTTTTTCTTTACTTTGACCACACCCACTTGACGTTATATGCGTGGGTAATTGGGTATAGCCAAAACCGTGAACATACAACTTTAATTATGCAAAGTATGAAGAAAGAAATCACAGCTAGTACAAGTGCATGGTTCATGATGCTTGTAGTATGTTCATTAGCAGCAAGATCACTCATTTTTGATCAAGAGGAAGGCAAGGGAGCATGAGGTTTCACACTGAACTAATGCGTCTTCTGAACGATCAAAGTTGGTCACTAAAGGAGGTAACATTGCTTTGTTACAGTTATAAATCCATCCTTTAACTCACATAGTACCATTCACTAATGATATTGCAAGGCCATTACTACGGCACCTTATCATGGCATTAAAAATTACTATTTTAGTATATATATATATACCAACCCACCAACCATATGTATAATTTACTGGAATAGCAACTGGCCTAACTGGTTTTTGATTCTCCTAATTAATGCCTATGATATAGAAGGTGGGGCTTGGTTTCTTGACTATTATTATAAAAATGGAGTAAATTCTAGTTTTCTATTAGTTAGAGGATCGAACTAGTTTGAGGAGTAAAACCGTACCAAAGAATATTCTTTATTGCATACCTTTCACCAATTTCTGTATGTCTGCTTGCTTTTACCAATTAAGAATCACTTTTTTTATTGTAACTTTTAGGATAATCTTGCTTCATGGATCAAGAACTATCAGAATTTATGAACAATAATGACTTCTTCCTTTTAAGTTCAGGTAGGTTGTATCATATTGACCATGTACATGTACAATGTAGTGCAACCATAGCACAGTAAAGAGTGCTGTATGACCAAGAACATCACAAGATGTTTATGGCTATTTATGGGCATGTTTCTTTTATACAATGACAGTGTGTGGGTGGAGGAGATACTGCTGCTTGTCTCAGGAGAAGACAATGAAACCCTTTGCTGCTTTTATATAAACCTTTGCTAACGAAGGAATGTTTTTTAGCTATAGATATAGCATCATTGGCATGATAGAACTCAATTATGCACCTTATACCATATAGTACTTTTATTTCGCAGATTTTTATTTTGGCGATTGGCAGTTTGTAAGCGGAATTGCCAATATTAAAACCACCAATCATTAATGCACATGCTCAGTAATGCATGTGTACACAAAAATTACCAAATTAAAAACTACCAATTACAATTCTACAGCAAAATCACCAAAATAAAGTGCCGCCAAAATAAAGCACTATATGGTATGCTGTTAATCAAGCTATGTGTAACAGTGAACTGTTTCTAGTATGGCAAAGGTCTGCACAAGTGTTCATGTTATAATTAATTGCTGTATATCTGTAAATTGCAGCCAATGTTTCCAGCTATGTGTGGTAAATAGTATAATTATTTGGTGATTCAGATACATTACCAATATACCCAGTGTGGTATTGTTGCTAATTGTCATAAGAATAATGGCGCTCAGAGATAGAGACAAGTTTACGAATACACACCAGGTGCTCTCAGACTATGGGAAGCTTTTTCTTTATGGTCAAAATTGTTTGTTTTATTATTGGCTGGATTAAAATTTGATTTTTATAAGTGTTATTTAGTTATCATAGCGCCGTAGCTAATATGGTACATCTGGAAATTTATCCGTTTGGAAATTTTTGTGCCTAAAATGTTTGCGTAGTAAGAAGTCTTGTTAAATGCGAGGGTATAATCTGACTTTTGCAAATTCCTTATTTCGCAAAATAATAATCACAGTAAAAATTTCCAGATACATGGTAGTTCTTTTTGAAGCTATTATGTATAGACTATGTACCGTTTGTTTGCTAAGATGTTTGACTCAAACTTGTACATGTCATATATTGTACTTGAAATTCGAGTTGACCAATCAGATTTCAAAATAGTGCTACTTACTGTATAGCTCCAAATTTTTTGTCAGTCAAAAATTTTGTCAATCAAAAATTTTGTCAAAATCTTAATTTCTTGTTAAAATTAATTTTGTCAAAAAATTTTTGTCAAAAAATTTTTGTCATTTTTGTTATTAATCCGCATACTACTCATGTGGAACGAAAATTTTGTCATTAAAAAATTTTGTTGAAACAAAAATACCTAAAAAATTTTGACCAACAAAAAATTTGAAGCTATATAGTATTAGAATTAGATACTGTGTATAGTTATTAATGCCCAGTGTCTTGAGACATCTCTTCTAAAGTAACAGGAAAGAGTATTTTATTTTTAATAGCATGTATCATTGTGTGAGTTCCAATTCCATTCATATTGTAATAAATGGAGGCAGGCGACATGCATGTTGAACTCTATTGCAACATGTTGGCCTTGTTTTGTTGCCTGTCTTGACAATGAAGAAGTATTGGTGCAATATGCTGCCTGGCAGGTGCTGGCTTTAGTGGTTTGTGGACTAGCTAGCCATGCATCCTTACTACTGAGGTCATGGATTAGACTAGTCACAACTTGATTCAGTTGGTTTTGAAATAGACAAAACATTCTTGTTCATAAAGCTTTTAGTGTCAAATGTCAGGCCTAGTGTAAACCTGTCTTTATGACAAAAAATCGTTTTGCAAATACTAAGCACTGAAAAACCATTTGTCCTGTAACTAAAAAGAGATGCACACTAAAGTATGCAATGTTATCATTACTTTCCTTAAAACCCAATAGTGCTCTTGAATCTCTACAATGTGTAAAACACAGTAATATTCTATTTGTAGTTCTGAAACGTATCTACTAAGCATTGCCCAATCCACTATGGAAAAGTATCTTAATGTTAATGAGTGTACATGTACATGTATGTCTTTATATTAGATTGTAATTATTTTGACCTTGATACCTTCAACATTATGCTCTATTGCCTCTAATAACATTGGCTGCTATTAATTGTGAATATCATCTACATGCTATAACTTAGCATTAATTTTTTATGTGCCATAATCAATTTTGTGAGTGTTTCCTCTGCAGTACTCACTGTTGACTATTATGATCTTATTTTATGTAAATATGAAACCTGCCAGAGTGAAATCTGTATGGTATTAGAGGGTATGTGGTATGAACCTGTTTACAGCATATCATGAATCCCACAATTGTTCTTTGCTTTAAAACCTTAAGTTAAGTACCATTACATGTCATGCTGAGCTATAAAAGGTCATGTATTTTGATTAGTATTTAAAGCCACTGTTCAGAGCCCTAACTTCAGAACAGTAGTGATCAGTTGCACTTAGTACATGAACTAAAACATGTCTTTGACAACGTTATGTGTTTTATTATTTTCTACCTTTATAGCTTTTTCCATTGCAGCACCTGTGGATGAGCCCAAGAAGACCAAATTTGAATACAACCATACTAATAATGAGGTACTGAAATAATGCTTCATTGATCTTTAAGTATCATTATTATGATTATTAGTCAAATGTATTTAATGAGGAGCCATCACTCAAGTATCTGAAAAAGAAGCTAAATGCTACCGAAGAGAAGGTTCCTAAATTTAGTTATTTCATATTATAAATTATTTTATTGTAGGTGAATCATTTGGTTTTACAGAATTATAATGAAATGATGGAGAATGGTATGTATAAACTTAAGACTCACACAGTGTCACCTCTCTCTTGTTACTTTATAGTATATCAACAAGTGACAGTCCCAACGTTTTTTACAAAATGGACGTCTCACTCAATACCATACACATCAAGTATTGATGACACTTTTCATGCACAGAATACACAAGAATGGGCACAATACTTGGTAACAGCTAGCCACCGTACTACTGGAAGTGTCTCAGTATACAGGATAGCTAAAGAAAGACTAAGACATTCTGAAACAATAATGATTCCTGGAGACAAAACATTAACATCAACAGCACACTTTACATTGCTGTAGCCTGCAAAAATTATTACGACGATACAAAAACAAACTCGCAACTTTACCACTTGGACAGATGATGAGACTCTGAAACATCTATTACATTTGGACTGACAACTTGTGAAATATTTCTCACTTTACAATGCTCACAGACAGTCAAAGCTCAACTGTGGCTAAGCTATTCCCTGTCGTTATGATATCTGAGCAGCTCTCATTCATTTATAGGTGGAATGGATCTTGCTTCGAGTTTGAGCTTTTCCAGACAATATGCAACAAAAAATCTCCACTCTCCTAGTAACTGCTAATTTTAACCAGATCATCAGTTGTTTATAAAATGAATAAATTTACACGACGTTTTAAACAATTCAAACATCAAAGGTCAAGCAGTTGAGAGTTTTACAATAAACAATGAACACTTTGTTGCTATAGTTAAAGAATAGGAATCATTAGGACATCCTAAACAAATCATTTACAAAGTCAGTTGATCACTACCTAAAACTTTATTCAAAAGATCACAATGTTTCATATATCCTCTTTTAAAGTGTATTGTGATGTCCTCTTTGGGTCCTGAGTGATGGGAATAGGGAATGCATTTCTGTTGATCTGTACAAATGGATTGATGCCTAGAAAACTGTCAAATATTATACATAAACTAGACTTTGCTTATAATTATTGATTGTTAATTATTGCCCTTTCTTTTGGTTTTGTTATTTTGCTGTGTAGATCAATTATTGATAGTTATTTAGAACTATTGTTCTTTATTTTTTGCTCTGTTTTGTTGATTTAGTACTTATTTTAAAATTTAAAACAAAGTTTAAAGTCCATGCACACGGTAGCTATGTGGTTTTAATAGAGCCTAGTGCAGCACTAGGCTCTAGAAGTGCATAGCAAAAAGTGAAGGCAAAAAGTCTGTTAGTGTATTACCCAGAGCCATCTTATGTTAACGGAAACAGAACTGCAGAAGTGGATTATAGGTGAGAAAATACATAATTTAAGAGAGTGAGAGAGAGACCCTCTTTCTTTCACCTGTTTCACCTTTTGCAACTTCTAAGGTATCCTATACCTACACATTAGGAAATTATGTTAATGTGTAGTGTAGCATGCAAATTTAAAAGACTAGTAGAAGTGCCTTTCAATTTGTTATTAACTTAATGAATTATTACTTTTTTCTTAGTCGAAATCACATATTGTTATCTTTCTTCTTTTCTCTCTTCTTTAATCAATTTTTTCTTTTTGTGTGCGATCTCACTTTTGCATTTTCTAGTCTTAAATAATAATAGTAATAAAATGAGAGGTGAGCATGCAATTCCAGGTTGCATTCAGTGATGATATTACATTGATTGACAAAAAGCATAACGTTAGAGTTAACCCCAAAATGACATTTCCTCCTCAGGATGCACATTCCCCACTGGGTACTATACTTGGACATATCAATTCATTTATGTCAATTTCTCTTTATATGGTGTATGTATAACAATAGTGGGTTATTTAGGGTTATTTAGGGTAATATTTTGGTAAAAGGAATCCAACTTTGTGAGTTTTATTTTTGTTCTGTGGGGAAAGGATGGGTGTGCCAAGTTTTGTGAGTTTCATTTTTGCTCTTGCATGAACAAAAAACAGAAGTTTGGCTAAGTGAAAGAGGCCAGCTATATGGTAGTTCAGCTAATGTACCTAATGCTCACCACTTACTTTGGGTATAAAAATTTGTTTTTGCAGGTGTTACCACATAAAGGGAAGAACTGTGGTTTCCTCTTAATCCAAACCTACTTCTCCAAATTGACAAAACCTTATTAATCAGGCACTTAATTACTCTATTTATCTTCCATTGCTAATAGTGTCCTTGTAATGCTATAAGCATCAAGTGCATATTCTATGCTAATAGCTGCCAAACTTGCCATATTAGCTAAGATAAATTAATATTGGTACAAACCATATTCATAATTCATAAAAGCAAGAACATATGTCTATATACTCTTCGTAAAAGTATACATACAACATTACTATAAGTGCAAAATATAATAAAAATTTATAATAATATTATAAGTGCAGAATAACATGAAGCCTACTAAAGTTAAAACTTGTATGGTATTTTGACAGCTGTGTTTACAGCATAATCTTGAATACCACATTATGTTCTTTGGTCAGTACCATTAGTTGTGGTATTGAGGCCAGGTGCTTCCATTAGTATTTAATGATGCTTTTGATCAGAAAAAATATAAGTTTTATCATCATGCATTTGCATTGATCAGTTACACTTTGCACACATACTGATAAAACATAATGTCCAATGCTTGGTGTGTATTTTTCAGCCAAAGTGTAGTAGTATTGCTGGAATCATTTTATTTTTTTTGTGCAGATTAAAATCCTGAGCATATAAGGTGCAGTTCATCAATCATCAAGAGAAGCTGAAAGCCCTAACTTCTTCCTTAAAATTGGCTGATGAACCGAAAATGCCCTTGCATTTATTGTTTCAGCTATTTTAGTTTGTTCTGTTGCAGCACACTGGAGGAGGCCAAAATTCGAATATAACCGTACTAAAAAATGAGGTAATGATCATTAACATCATTATTACCATTTTATTAGTCAAATATCAGCCATGTATCTGGAAAAGAGAATAAATGCCACTGAAGAAAAGGTTAGTCATTTCATATATTATTATAAATTATTCTATCATAGGTTACCAGACTGAATGAATGTGTACAACTCACACATGTAGTGTTCCATGTCTCTAGTTACTTCATAGTTCATCGAGTCACAGGCCAAAGGTTTTTTACAAAATGGAAGCACTCTCAATACCATAATAATGCAATGATGAAGAATGTGCAGACTTAATCTCACCAAGTTTTTTCAAAACAGACATCATAAGCTAAACATCAAAGTTTCTATGCATGAAATTGACAAGGACAGACACAGCTAGTACACAATTACTACTGGTAGCTGTATACAATACAACAAGAGAGGGGCCAAGACATTCTCAGACAATAATGATTCCTGGCCGAACCAGCAACAATCACTACAATTCAATGATAGCGACGACTTCATCCTTAAACGTTCGATAATGACAATAAAGGGGCTCTGAAACACGTATAGACTTTTAGCAAGAATGAGGCTTATGATGATGCATTTAGAAAGACAAATAAAATATTTCTCACTCTTATGACGAATAATGAACATTCATGGACTGGATTACCCTCTAAAGGAACCCTGAACACTGTCTGTTCAATTTCTGGAGACTATGGAGTGAAATCTCTTTAACATCAAAGATCATCTTTTAAGCATTGCCTGTAATGTCAATATAATATCTTAAGTATTTTAAACTCATTCATTATCATACCGTTTTTTAGGTAATACCCTAACCACGTACAACAAAGGGTCTCCTTCCTGTGAATATTGAAAGCCAGTTCTTCTTAGTAGCTGCCAATTCGAAAGGATCATTAGTCATTTATAAAATAAGTAAATTCACGAGACGATTTGAAATATTTCAAAATATCCCAACATCGAAAGTCAAAGCATTTGACAGTCTTACCATGAACAGAGGACACCTCATTGCTGTAGTTAAGGCACGAGAAATACTAGTGCATAGACAAACCCAAATACCGGTATGTCCTTCTCAGTGTTTGTATTTTATTATTTTCAGCTATTGTAGTTTGTTCTGTTGAAGCACAAACTTGAAGAGATTAAAATTGAATATAACGATACTAATAATTAGTCAAATGAGGAGTCACCATTGAATCATTTCGAAAAAAATGCCATCAAAGAGTAGGTTTAGGTTATAAAATTTAGTCATTTCATTTTTATCATAGGTTACCAGACTGAATGGTTAAATAATAGTGATGAAGAATGGCTTAATCTCACCAAGACCTTTTCAAATCGGATATCTCTTTCCGAACCATTCGTTTAACATGAAACTTTCTATGCAGACAGTGCCAGACACAGTACACAATAACTACTGACAACTGTATACTGCAAGATTACAATGTAATGAGAGAGGGGCCGAGACAATCTGATTCCTGGCTGTGGGCAGTGATGACAAAAAACATAAACGACAAAGTTTATACTGCTGTAACTGGCAAAAATTATTACAATTCAATGATACTTGAACATTCAATGATGACAGGGCTTTAAAACATGTACAGACTTTTAGGAACAATGAGGCTGATGAGAATTCATTTGGAATGATGAATGAAGAAATTAATACTTATCACTCTTACGATGAATAATGAACACTCGTGGACTGGATTACAGTCTATGAAGGGAACCTGAACATCGTCTGTTCAATTTCATTCAATTTCTGGAGACTATGGAGTAAAATCGAATTTCTTTTACATCAAGTAAGCATTGCTCCATTTGCCTGTCAAAATCTCAATCGTTTTTCAGATAATACCCTAATCAGGTACAATAAAGGGTCTCCACTTATGCATATTGAAAGCCAATTCTTCTTAGTAGCTGCCAATTTGAAAGGATCATTAGGCGTTTATAAAATGAGTAAATTCACGGAACATTTTGAAATATTTCAAACTATCCCAGCATCAAAAGTCAAAGCAGTTGACTGTCTCACCATAAACAGAGGACACTTCACCACTGTAGTTAAGGCACGAGAACCACTAGTATGTAGACAAACCTAAATATGTCCTTCTTGGCATTATGTATTTTATTATTTTCAGCTATTGTAGTTTGTTCTGTTGCAGTACAAACTTGAGGAGACTAAAATTGAATATAACCATACTAATAATCAGTCAAATGAAGATTCACCATTGAATCATTTCAAAAACTGCCATTGAAGAGTAGGTTACTAAATTTAGTCTTTTAATTTTTATCATAGGTTAATTACCAGACTGAATGGTGAGGAAGAATGGCTTAATCTCACCAAGTCTTTTTTCAAATTGGATACTATCTTTCCAAACAGTTCGTTAAACATTATTAAAGTTTTTATGCAGACACAGTACATAATAACTACTGGTAACTGTATGCTGCAAGATTACACAACGAAAGAGGGGCTGAGACATTCCGATTTCTGGCCGGGCAGTAACGACAAAAAACATAAACGACACAGTTTACATTGCTGTAACTGGCAACAATTATTACAATTCAATGATGCATGCACAAGCAGAGTGACAAATTCATACTTGAACATTCGATGATGACAATGAAGGGGCTCTGAAACACGTACAGACTTTTAGCAACAATGAGGCTGATGACGAAAGACAAATAGTGGCCCTTACGACAAATAATGAATGCTCATGGACTGGATTACCCTCTAAATGGACCCTGAACACCATCTGTTCAATTTCTAGAGACTATGGAGTGAAATCAAATTTCTTTTAACATCAAAGAGCATCTTTTAAGCATTGCTTCATTTGCCTGTCAAAATAATATCTCAAGCATTTTAAATTCAATCGTTTTTCCAGATAATACTCCCACCACATCAACAAAGGGTCTCCATGCACCCTGTGAATATAGAAACCCATTTCTTGTTAGTAGCTGCTAATTTGAAAGGATCATTAGTCATTTAGTAAATTTAGGAGATGTTTTCAAATATTTCAAATTACACGATCCCAACATCAAAGTCGACAGTCTTACCATCAGCAGCGAACACTTCATTGCTGTAGTTAAGGCATAGGAACCATCTGCAGGTACAATACCAAACTTTTACTGGGAGCCGGCACCTATACTGAATTCATTTGAAGAGATCACAAAGTATTGTGTACCTGAGTTAACTTGAAGTGTTTCACAATGTCCTCTTTCAGTATATATATGGTCCTGCAACCGGCTTGCTAAATATTTTTCTTGATAATTGTTATTATCATATCATAGTTGTCAATTGTTACTATTTTTGTTATTTAATAAAGTTAATTACTGAATTTTGCTAACTAACTCAGTGCTGTTCCTCAATGACAGTGCCGGAGTGCCAAACCCCACGGTCCATTGTCCGCTCTTCCACGGTCCATTGTCCGCTCTTAAGCACTACTCGTAAACGGCCCGGAGCTCCTCGACTCGACTAATAGCCCTATATAGACTCATATCCAATAGACTGTGAGCCCAGCCAATATCTATGGCACAGCCTGCTCAGACAGTCCAACTATCCAGCTCGCAGTCCAGTGACCCTTGCACAAAATCCTCACACCACTGACACTAGCATGCTCAAGTTTGAAGTTTTACTCGCGTCTCGTGCCGCGCCACTACCAGACCACATGCACATCACGTGAGTTTTATGACGTCACATACGTACGTGTACTAATAATGGGCGGAGCTCACTCGCAGAAAATTAAAAATCCCAGCATTCAAATTCAATTTCATCAAAAATTATCATGAAAATATTATGGTAAGAGTTTTGTTCTCTTCCTCTCTCTTTTTCCCTCTTCTTTTTCTAGTTGGCCACTTGTTGTAATATAGAGCTGTGAAATTGGTGTTTGGGATTTGGGAGGGTCTTTGGCCTGATTTAATTTAGAGCAAGTTTTAAAAAAATTTTAATTTTAAAAGTTGCTATGCAACATGAAAAATGGCTCCGAAATCACCTCCAATTTTTAATACATTAAAAAATGCATATTGATGTACATGTACTTATGTTGCATAGAAAGTTTGAGCAGATTCCGTTAAGTAACCAGTTTCTGAAAAAACCTCTGTACTATACTGTATAGCTCCAAATTTTTGTCGGTCAAAAATTTTTAACCTAAAAATTTTGCTCCACGTGGTTAGTATGCAAATTTAGCAAAAATTTTATCAACAAAAATTATAAATTTTGACTGACAAAAAGTTGGAGTTATATGGTAACCCATGCTTTTTTCTGAAATGGCTCCAAAAACACCCCAAATTTTATTTAATTTTCTGATACATAGTGATGTTTTATGCTGTGTAGAAGTTTGAGCTGATTCTCACTTAATTTTTTGAGTTGTGGCCACTTTAAAAATAGGCAATTTTTAGAACAAGTTTATGTACTATTATTACTATAGTACATGGAAATTGTCTATTTTTATTGCCTATTTTTTGGAGTCAAAAAAATAACTCCAAAATTACCCCAAATTTTGTTACATTTCTGATACATATTGATGTAGGTACTTATGCTGTGTAAAAAGTTTGAGCTGGTTCTGCCTTAAATTTTGTGAGTTACAACTATTTTTAAAAATAGGCCAATTTCCAATAGTTTTTTTCAAAAAATGGCTCCGAAATGACCCCTAATCTTTATTAAATTTTCTGATATACTTTTGCTGTGTAGAAATTTTGAGCTTATATAGACTAAAATTTTTTGAGTTATGAGCAAATTTAAAAAGTACAGGCCAGCCTCTGAAAAAAATTCTGTATTATTATACAAAAAATATTAAATTGGAGAATTTCTAGCCATTTTTGACAAATACTATAAGTACAGGATGTTTGACCTGCTAGTTTGTATCATGTAATTTTTACTACTCCACAGAAGTCACAATACACAGACAAAATTGTTTGATACTTAAGTTCACCAAATTATATTTGACGTGTACTGTTCCCTGCCGTCTGTTTTTATGAAGAGTAAAGGAGGTAAAAGTATACCTTTGGCAGTTTAAGACTAGCAGTCATACTAGCTCACACACTTTTCTTTTTTAGCTAGATATTCCCAAGATTGTGCCGACTGGTCCTCTGCTACAAACGCCTACTAAGTACATGCAACTATACATTAATGGGAGGAGGGAAGGTATGATATGGTTATTCTTCTCTCTCTGTTTTATACATTAACATAATAGTTCCTCATTGAAAAGTATTGTCATAGGAACATTAGGACCACACCTTATGCAGCATTAAAAGGAAAGACTGGAAAGTTTTGATACTTTAGGAATTATCTTACGAAGCTTCTCTCATCAGATAACATTAATACAAGTGTATAAGTGGTTTATTGTTCTGCACATAATTTTATTGCTTTAGGGTAATGAGAATATTTTGGAACAATTGTTTGCTCACTTTGCTGCAAAAATTATAACATCTGTGTATCAACACCTGTATGTTTTACCATAATGATGTATATTTCATGTATTTGAACTACTTTTGAGCTGCTAATTAATTAACTATTGTATTCTATTAATTAACTAGCTACTAGCCACACCTCCGCCAGCGTTTGCCTGCATTGCTGCTCCTGCTGTTCTTTCCCTCTATCAATGTCCTCCCCTACTCCGCTGAGGCGCTCCAGATCTATTACCAGAAAAGACAAAGACAAGAACTCTCCGGTTAGGGTGTTAGCTAACCCGGACCTCCTCTTTGACTTATGCGTCAAGTACATACTGGACTCGAACGAGCTCGCGGGTAAAGCTGTCGTCAATTTGCCACAGTCACATGCACAATATCTTCTCTGTTTGGGGCTGAAGAAACTAAGGGAGGGAAGGCTATCTGATAACAGCATATTACACAGTCTAATAACGGGTTGGGCTCACTCTGATCTCTCCTTTAACTTCAGATCAAACCAACTTGTCATTCGTCGCTTGGGCTCACTCCAACCTGTTGGTCACTCCTGGTCTTTTGGGTGTCTTGAACCTCACGTCTACCACAGTATAACTGGTGTCTCTAAATCCCGCTACAGCAGTTGCGCCAGAGAGATATCCATAGGTCTGTTCAATCATGTGTATCGTCACGATCAGGTTGCTGGAAGCGGTTCAAAAGTCTTCTTAAGGTCTGTCGATCTCTCTGATTTCGAACAATTCTCGTCAGAGCCTGGTACAAGCTTCATTGAGACAGGTTAGCCACTTTCCTCCTCCTTTCCTCTTTGATGTGTATTGATAAACTTGTGTGGGATCTGATGAAGTAACTGACTCCAGGGCAATGAGGTAGTGTAAGAGATGAGCCTTATATAGATTACGATTGACCTCTCAAATAATTGTGATATGGTGTGTGTGTGTGTGTGTGTATATTTACGTTGTGTGTTTGTGTATGATTATGTGAGAATGAGTGAAAGTGTTGAGATATGGTGAAAGTGATAACTTAGCTACATGTCTATAGCCAAAGCCAATGTATACAATGTACTGTAGTAAGAGAGTACGTGTACTCGTGACAATAGTAAAGGGCCAAGGCATTTCTAGACAGATTAATCTAACTTTGGCATTGCTTTACTTTTATGTTCTTGAGTCACTAATTCCACTCTACTCTTTGTTTACAATCACAGTCTACTGCGTTGTTTTACATTTATTATAAACTGTTATTCTACTGATCAATCATACACATTATGTCATTAACCATCCTCTCTCTAATTACTTTAGAATCCCCTGTCACTCCCTTCTATCATCTTGCCAGAGGCACTTTCCCCGGCCGAGATGCATACCAGTGTCTCTCGCCCGATGACTTCAAGTTCTATCGAACTAAGAAACCCACTCTCCAGCGCTCTTCGGCAGAGCCAATCAAGCTTTACGTCAATTTTAAATTCACGACTGTCAACCACGTGATGGAGTTTACCAGACTACCAAAAGGTCCTACCAGATACAAGTTATGTCTGAAGGCACTCGACATTGCATCGATTGAAGATTCACCGATGCTGACTAAGCAGTTGGATCAACTCAACACCACCGAAATGGCAACCCTAATCACTCGTTCTAGTGTCTCTTTGAGCGAGAACTTTCTCCGAAACGTCTCAAGTCTTTGGGTACTTCAAGATGATAAGGATAATACTAGTGTCGTCAGACAGGCACTCAAAGTCTCTGGTACCCTTAAGAATCTCTTCATTTCTTTGCTACTCGACTCTTCCCCTTCATTGCTGGAAGCCATCACTGAGACTAGTACTAATGGCCATGGTTTGCAAGGTCTAGCTCTCTTCAGAGGAGAGAATAAAAGAAGCCTGGTGGCTTTAGGAGGCTCTCTTACCAAACTGAGCTCAAGCTTACGCTATCTCCAGCTCTATGACTGGGCACCAAGCAATGTTCCACTAAAGCCCCTCTCTGCCTGCCACCAGTTAAGAGTAATCTCTATTGTTGTTGACTGCTCTCACCTCTTCTACTCTTCAGCCTCTCAGTCTCACACAATTGGAGAACTCTTTGAAACCCTCGGTCACATAAAGAAGCTCGAGTTCATAGAGTTAGGAGAGCAAGTTGATTTACATGCTCCTGATCTTGTGAGGATACAGAAAGTCCTCAGACATTCCCTCACGTTGCTGGAGCATTGTCACTTGAACTTTAATTACATCAGCTTAAAAAGAGCTGATCTCGATGATACTTTCAATCAGTCCATTTATCAACTCATAAGGTCTTTCTTTATGATCATGGGTCGAGGGACTTCGTTACTTTATCGTCAAACGGAGAACTTTCACCTTAGCCTAAAGAGCCCAGCCCTGAGCCTCACCAAGAGGTGGTTAAGTGATATTAGACGAAATGTGTGCTTTAAGATTGGAGCTGAAACCAATTCTGCCAGCAGTCTGGTCCACTTGAGGAGACTGGGCATGTGAAGAGAGAGAAATAGGAGAATGAAAGAAGTGTGAATGTAGCAATTTATTGTTGTAATAAATGTACTTTTTAATGTTGTCATTGTTGTTTTTTTTGTTGTAAAGAAGAGAATCATTATTTTCATGTATATTAATTTGTAATAAACTAATAATATTTTTTGCAATAAAAATATAGATTACTGTAGTTCTTCTCCTTTCCATTATAAAACTAAAGTCCCGCCTATCTATAATGAAGCAGGAATGGAGACTCGAAGGATGGAAGAGATCTGTGAGCTCTTTCTCCAGTGCAGCCACTCGGAGCAGCTGATGCTAATAAAGAAATTACCATCTCTCATACACAGAGATTTCATTGGACAACTTCCTCTACTAGCTCTAGTTCGAGTTCTACAGCATTTGCCCAGAAAAGACATTATAGCTTGCCTGAGGGTATGCAGGGACTGGTACATCACCATTAAGAACTGTGACGTATTCTGGAGATCCATTTGTCTCCAGTCTGGCCTATCGCCGGCTGTAGTAAGCGAATATTGTCGTAACGTGAATGAGGGAAGCATAATGAATGTTGCATTGAGATCCGAGATACACGTCTCAAATATTAAGCAAACGCTAGGCAAGTCTACATTGGTATCAAGCATTAACAGAATACCAAACGTGAGTAGTTCAGTTCGATTGTTCAGCCACCAGGACTGCTACGGGAAGGTCGCACTGACTGCTTCGTCGTCTCGCCATTCACGAAGTGCAATAGAAATAGTTGCTCATTACAACGAAATCGACGAGCTCCTCATTACGTTCCCTCTTGTTCAGTTATGCCGTATCGTTTGTGGGTGTCATGCGGACTCCGGGAACATTGTTTATGCCACTAATTTAGCCGACTGGGGGAAAATGCATTGCCCGAGTGCCAAGAACCAGCTATGGTCTGACAATAAGGTTGTTTCATGGTGTGCAAAAATAGCAGCTTGTAGGAAATGTGGTTTGATCATTGAAGGAGAGCCACAGCCACATGAAAAGAGAGAGGATCAGGTAACGTGGAAAATGGAGTTTGTTTTTTTGGATTTTCGTATCCAATCAGTCAAAAGGTTTCGAAGATATGCAGTCTTGAAAGAAGTGATCATTCCAGAGAATGACTACTCCTCCATACAATCAATGGCTCTCATGTCAACCTCTTTATCAACAGAAGGAGCATGCTGTGAACATTGGCTCCTCATTCAGCTAGGCAGTGGCGTTGCTGTTTTTTCCATTCCGGGTCATACCACAAATTTTGAGCCAATAAGCAAGTCTGATTCATCTACAGGATTTGAGCATGTCAACAGTTATATTCCTGAGGGGTATACAATACTTAACTTAAATTCCTTAGGGGACACGTTTCGTTTGTCTTACAATGATAAGCTCTTAGGTTTTATTCTATGCGATGTCCTGTACGTATGGGACGTCGCGTCATTTTCTCTATTATCGACTACTCATCTCAGACAGCATATTGGAGCAGAGCAGTACAGATGCAGCCTATTGGCAGTTGGTAACTTATACAGTATCATTCATTCTATTGATAGCCACTATAGCTATCTTCATGTGCTTAGCAGTACAATAAGTAACAAGGTTTTGCTGTCGTTGTCCGTATGCCAGAAAGAGGAAATGGGGTTTTGTGCACCCATACATCAGGAGTGGCTGAATCACTTAATGGAGTCATTCGACAGTGCTGTGTTTCCTTCTCAGAATCCTTTTAGGGCTCTTGTTTTCGGAAAAGGAAGAAGAGATAAGCATTAGGAATTTTTTAGACAAAAACTGCAGCAGTTTTAATAATAGTATTCATTGACTCATTAATTTTATTAGATTAGATTAATAAAATTGTCATGTGACTCCGCCCATGTATTACTCCTAAAAACAATAAAGAGAGGGGAAGAATTGTGCTTTTCTGGTTCTGGCCAGCCTCTCACTGGCTCATATGCAGGTAACATGAAGTGGCGGTCCTTATTCCTTCTGTTCTTGTTCTATTGGGTCAGTGGCACCCAAGGCGACTTGCCAGGACAGGTGGAATCCATCATAGATACCTTTCAAAGTCAGTCTTTGAGATGTATATATCTGTATTTAGTGCTAATTTGACAGGAGAGGCTAGCCTTGTAGTCATAGTGACTGTATAGTATCAGATAGTCTCTTGGGTATCTGTTGTATATTAATGATAAATTTTGTTTAATATAGATACATGTATATATAATACTGAAAGTTGAATTTAAAGGCCAGGTGGACTTGTATTGTTGTGTAGAGATTGTTTCTTTAAAGTAGCCTATGTCTGTGAACATCCTTCCATTACCTTTAATAAAGCAACTTGTACGTGTAGATAATGGTGAGGTTGTGGGTTTAACAAATTGTCACTTCTCGTAATATTTGTTGTGTGAAAGTGTTGCGATGAATAATCCTATGGCTTCAAGCATAATATTTATTTTTACTTATAGTCTAAATATTATGTTTTTAGACTGGGAGCTATGTAGACGCATGTATCTCAATAGAGACACTCTATGCAGTGAAGGGAACACCCACAACCCTAATGTTACCAGCAATGCTACACTTGTAACTAATCTCCATCAGAACCACTCCTTATATTATCAGGGAGAGTCTGTCAATATAACTGCTGATATTAATGATACTACGTCTGATCCTAATATTACATATACTTACCTTTTGTGCGACGTGAGAGAGACTGATATTGGAAACCTCTCTTCTTATATCTCGTCTACTAAGAGCAATGAGACTAGCATCGTATCTACTACCACTTGGCATTTTATTGGACAAGTGTATCTTTATTTATTCACTTGGGATAATACTGGGAGGAATGGCTGTGATTATGCAAATGTCGCCATCAAAAGTACTTGCTTTATTTGTCAAAGAGTACATTTTATATAATTTTTTTCTCTAGAATGCTCTGACTCATTAATTGTGAATGTTGAGCTAGAGCAAGACAATTCTGAAGAGGGACCTTTTCAAGTTGGTAATGTCACTGTGACAGTAAATGTGTCATCATCTCATGCAAACTCTACTGATGATTGTCCTCCAATTGATGATAGCAGTGGGACTGGTATACAGTCAGGGAGCGCAGTGGATCCTAATAATACTGATGACACGTTACAGTATCACTACACAATCTGTTTTCCACCTGACATTGGAGCTAATGATCGTTATTGCAACAAAACTGAATCAGAGAACTCAACTGCATCTTTGATTTATGATGTTACAGGCTTTGTCGAGTCTGTGGTCTACGTCGAAGTTTACAAAGCCTCTAAATCGAAGCTAAAATACGGCAATGATACTATTAACATCACAATATATGGTGAGGAATGATAATTGATTTTTTAATTTTATTTAGCTTTATTAATTTTATTGTTAGAACCTATATCAAATCCACAAGTGTCACATGAGGACAAAGACAAATATATTAAGCAGAAGATACCCATTACTGTCTCTGCCAGTGGAAGGTACGTGTATGAAGTACTTATATTAAGAGTATTATTATTATTACATTTTGCTATTATAGTACGCCAATAACTGTCCAATGGGAAGTGTTTCATGATGGCCACGAGTCTCCAAAGCGCTGTGAACATAGCTCATTAGTACTGCATAGCAATGAACCAGGAGTTTTCTACTGTACATTCAATGACAGTGGTATATACAACTTTAATGTTAGTTTCAGCAATACTGTCAGTTACACTAGCAAGGCAAAACAAATCCCAATACAGCCATGTAAGTTGTTGATATAGAACTAAAGCCTAGTTTTGTTTTTATTATTTTTTAGCTCCTCCCATAAATGTGGTGGCTACCAGCACTTCAGTTGTGGCTGTACTCGTAGTTCTGATTGTTGTTGTCATTATTATCATTGCAGTCGTTACCAGTTACATGTCTTATCGAAAGTTCCGTAACAAAGCCACAGAGACGGCTGACTTTAGTTTCGTGAAACTCGAAGTACCTCCTACTCGACGTCAAAGGCTTGTAGCCCAAATAAGCAAAGTAAAGGAAAGATTTGGAAAGAAGAGGCAGCGATTTGGACTCGTTAACACAGATGAAAATGTGGATAGTTTCTATGGATCGCTGAATCCTTTTGCTGCACATGAATCTTTATAGCACACACACACATATATACAAGAGTATTGAGCAAGAGAGAGAGGGCGCTAATAATAAATCACGAAAAATAAATCATTTATGTATAATGCGTGTATGCCAGTGTGTTTTAATTTTGTCTATAATATTATTGTAGATTAAATGCTAATTGTGATTATTCCTCATCATTTTGTTTTATATTTAATCTAGTATGTATATATATGCGGCCAGTGTTAATTTTGCATGCATCTTTCACCACTGATTTTCACAAGAGAAAAAACACTTAGTATCATAACTGATTTATTTATGTATGTGTGTAGTGTATGCATGTTAAGTCAAGCACATTTCCATAAGCATATTGCCATAGTCCCACCAAAGAACATGTACATCATGTTCTTTACTTCGTGAGTCACTTCAAACCCGTAGCCCTCTCCAACCACAGCGTGCCAGGAAGCACCAAACTTCTTATCCATAGTCTCTTTTATCATCTTTGCAGCAGCCTATGCAAGTAGGTATAGTCTCTTTGATAGTGATAAGTTTAGAATACCTCGTTAGAGCTTGCGTGTTTCTCGCATGCTGTTACACAGAGCTCCATAGCCTCCACTCTCATTTCTTCATTCATGTCTGAGAACTGAATATTATTATCATAATGAGACACAGTATAGCTCTCTTGCCTTAATCAGTGGGTAGTTATGAACTTTTCTATAATCATATCCACCGGCAGAGGTTGCTTCTCCTCCAGTCGGGGCAGCAGCTTCTCCACCAGCAGCTCCTCCAGCTTCCTCTTCCGCCATTTTGTTTGTAGGGTGGGTTACTAGGGCAACAACAAAATTTTTTTCGGGCAAAGCAAAAAATTTATGTCCAAAAGATGGCCTCCAAAGATGTAGATGATGATGAAGATTTTGATGAGTTAGAGGAAGATGATAGTGAGAGTAAGTGATCAGTGCATACAAGGTAATTCATATTGGGTACAGTAGTTGCAGGTATGGGGTCTCTCACACTTTCTCCGGACGAAGCTGGAAAGAGAGTCACTTGGGAAAAGTAAGCTGACAAAGTCTGAAAAGAAGGGATATTGTAAACTTTATATTGTATGCATAGGGAACAAAGTAAACTGAAAAGTCAACTAATCACGGTTGATTCTCCTGACGTCCGCTCATGGAGGAAAGGAAACAGTTTATTTTTTGGACTCCACAACATTGCTGGTGTTGATATTTCATTTGTGAAAGGAACACAGAAAGCTTGTGCAATGATGGTCATACTTACATTTCCTGATCTGAGGGTGAGAGAGTCCTCATGATGTGCATTGATTATTTTATACTGTATTTGCCTGATTAAAACCCCGAGCATTTTTAAGTAACAAGGGAAAAATTGCATTAAAAAAACAAAATGTTTCCAAAACAAGGAATCAAACCCATGTCTTTTAGGTTAGGAGACTGTGCTTCAAGAGTTAGGCTATTTGGAGCAATCTAAACTCCAGGCTACCTAAATTTTAGTTAAAATATGCATATCTATAGTGAGAAAACTGAGAATGTTTTAGGGATGGGCGTTTATTTGAGGCTTTGAGTTGGGCTTCTAATCAGACAAATACGGTACATGTATACTCCAGTTGCATGTGAGCATTATCGAGTTTTTTCCTTAGGTGGCACACATTAGTAAGGAAATAGTAGAAATGACAGAACCTTACATACCAGGGTTTTTGGCATTTCGTGAAGTTAGCTTTCTCATGGATCGATTGGAAGAGATAAAGGGGAATAACCCTCACCTTATGCCACAGGTAACTTCATTAGGAATCTCTCATTTAAATCAATTCTTTCTTATTGAACTTCAGGTAATAATGGTAGATGGCAATGGAATACTGCATCCAAGAGGTATTGCATCATGGATTGCATTTCTTTTGCTGATTTATATAAGGGCTGGTTTATTTTAATGAAGAAACGTTCTCTCACATTTAGGATTAGGATTAGCAAGTCATTTTGGAATATTGTGTGGTATTCCATGCATTGGAGTTGCAAAGAACCTTTTCTGTGTTGACGGCTTACAGAAATCAGCAGACTTCAAAGAAAAGGTTATTCTTGTAGTCATTAGTTGATTCTTTATTAATTTTGTCTGCATAAATTTAGATTAGCAAGCTAAAAAAGAAAGGTGATAGCTTTGATTTGAAAGGAGACTCTGGCAAACTTTGGGGAAAAGCAAGTGATTTCATTATATCCAACTTGCCATGTTCATTTTGTATACTATAGGCTGTCAGGACTTCAGATGATGCTGTTAATCCTGTATATGTTTCTATTGGTCATAAAATCAGTTTGGAGACAGCCACAAAATTAGTGATTGCTTGTTCAGTGAAAAGAATACCAGAACCAACTAGAAAAGTAAATTAATACCGAGGTGTAGGATAACAACCTATTCATCTCATAGTCTGCAATAATACAAAATTTAGAGTTTTGTCTTGCCTTCTGTTTTTACTTCAGCTGTTTTAATGGAGCGTTTTCTCTTAGCCATTTTTGATGCAATGACAATTGATATAGCCCATGATCTTTATTTGTTCAACTGTTTTAGCAAATTAAAAAATTTGTAAAAAAATCCAAACACAATCCGAATCAGCTCCAACTTTCTAAACAACATAAGTGCATGTATGTGCATCAAGAAAAATTATTAAAATGAAGATTCATTTTTGACGAGATCTGGCCAATGATCCTATACTACAATACAGGGACTTTGACCTGATTTTGGAGCAACTTTAAAAATTTGTAAAAAATTCAAACATGATCAGAATCAGTTAAAACTTTCTATGCAATATAAGGACATGTATATGTATTATGAAAATAGAAAATTCTTTGTTTTTAATTTTGATGAAATTTGGCCAACAGGACTTTGGTCTGATTTATAAAAAATCCTAAGGACATGTATAATTTTTGTTTATAAAAGGAGAATTTTTTTCTATTCAAATTTGGCCAAAGACCAGTATAGGGTAGTGATGGGCGATATGGGCAATTTTCTTAATTTTTGATAACGATCGATATGGACTTTTTAAGGAAGTATCAAGTATTAACAATACGATAACCACACCTTCATTTTGAGGTGTGTCAAGGGTGTGGCTAATGATTTTGGCACAGATGTACTTGTCATGAGAAAATATAATTTTCATGCTCTTGAGCTTAGTTCTCTTCTTATTGAGCTAACAACTGGTCAGTTGCTTCTTTCTTGCAGTTTAAGAGTGCAATTTTATTAAAATTAGTTATTTAACCTTAATAAACGGGTGTGGTCAATAGATCGATAAAAATTGCAAAAAAATTTTGATGATTCAAATCAATTCTGTAGAATATCGTTTATATTGATAAAGAATTGATATATTGCCCATCACTAGTATAGGGTTATTGGCCAGAGTTTTTAGCAACTTTGAAAATTTATATTTTTACGAGCATTGTGTGAAAAAAATTATAAAATTGCAATTTTTGATGAAATACCAGGTATTATACCCATACCTTACACACTCTAATTGCTTTTCTGTGTAATGACTTATTTTTATACATTACAGGCTGACTTGTTGTCAAGACAGGAGCTAAGACCAAAATCAAACAGAAAGAAACAATATTAGTCGTGATAATTATTAATCAATTTTTATATATCAAAACTTTTAATGTTATTTTTACAGTTTTGTGATGAAATTTTTAAAAAATTATTTTTATTTTCTAGTCTTCTTTTGGCTTTTCTGGTGGTGGTCCACAAGGCTGAAGCATTTTCTATTGATGAAATTCATTAAAAAAATTACATGCAACTTCTCAATTTCTAACCTGAATAAAATTAAACTTGATCCTTGCTTTTGACTCATTCTCTGCTATTGCAAAGAACTCCATCATGTGGTGATGGCCAATGTATGAAGCATACGAATCACGATGCTGGTTAATTAACCATTCACTACACAGAGGAATTACTGTTACTTAAAATAGAATTCAATTATTGCATCGTAATCATGTTACTAAAAATAACTAACAAGTGTTCTATTTTTAGAAGCAGATATAAATAGCACTACATGTGAAATGGACTTACTATTTGGTCATGTCTGCATGTCCTGTCCCCACGTATTTTGACTGCACTGTAAAGTTACGTAACAAAAAATAATAAATAAACTTTATAATTAAATTAATTTTAGCTCTAATGACTATCATTCAATAATACATCTTAATATTGTTCGTAATGGTCAAAATGAAATGTTTAATATCTATTCACTCACAGTGTTCAAGTTGGCTGTGAATATTATAACGATCAGCCTGCATAAATAAAATGGGATACAAGAGGTTGGCATTAATTAGAAATGTACTGTTGACTGTTTATGTGAGTGAAATTCGTGTGTCACGGATTCTTTAGTGTTGTTATGCATTCAACAAACTCACCATTATTGTCAACAGTGGTGTCTCTTTTATAGTAGATCCACAAATCCGAGAGTACAGAAATAGTAACAGTCCGTTTACTCTATTTTTAGCAACACCAAATTAGGTCCTAACGTGACGTCTCCTCTATAAATAGAATCACAGTGAGCGGAGGAGGAAGTGACCACTGTTGAGCTGTGCCCTTTTATCTTCTCTCTGACTGCCTGCTCTTTGTACAGCGGACATTCGACTGCCAATAGGACACGCACACACAGAAGGACCCGGCGTTAGGAGACAGTTACAATGCAGGCCATCAAATGTGTGGTTGTGGGAGACGGGTAAGTTCTGGTTGACATTTTCTCTGGGTGTGTTCCTATTGTTATCATTGTCTTTGTTGTGATGAAACCTTCTCTTTTTCTCCTCCCTCCCTCCCTCCCTCTCACTCTCTCTCCCCTCACAGTGCTGTGGGTAAGACATGTTTGTTAATTAGTTACACCACCAATGCCTTCCCTGGAGAATACATCCCAACTGTGTAAGTAAAGACATTATTGTACGTGTACATGTAGAAATATATCCATTTGTAATAATTCATTATGTACTCGTGGAAGATTCCTCTGTCTTGTATTTCGTTCAATGTGTCGTGTTATATTTGATTGTGTCCGATTATTCATTTCTAACTGACAAACGGTACACAATTACGCCCTCTCTTTATCATTTTTTAAACTATTATTTTGCTTCTAATGAAGTTTATGTGTCTCATTTAAAAGTATAATATCGTATTTCATGCATAGTACATGTGACAGGAAACTTTGCTTCACGTCATACTGATTACCCGTTGCCTTTTATGCCATGATGTGTATCCAATAGACTTTGTATGATATTGTTTTTCTGAGAAGTGACTGAATGTGCTGGTATGGCTATGACTTGTTTGTCCCTATCCATTTCTATCTTTTATTATTGCCTGGAGCCTGGAGTGTGTATGTGTGTACACCTAAGCCATGATAAGGAATGTACTTATCCAACTTTCTGCTAATGTGGCATGAGTCCTTATTTCCGTTCTGTCCCGCCAGTAATTAACCTGTATCTCTCTCTCCCTCTCTCTCTCTCTTCTGTCTCCCTCTCTCTCTCTCCTATTACTCAATATTTGTCTCCTTATCTCATTTCCTCCCCTCCATCCCTCCTACTCTCTCATGTTAGTTTTGATAATTATTCTGCAAATGTAATGGTAGATGGAAAGCCTATAAATCTTGGTCTCTGGGACACAGCAGGTGAGTATGATAACTTTGTTTTGTTGTTTTGGGAACTGTGTCCACAGCCTTTGGTGTATTGGGATGCTGGGAGTGGCATCAGACCACTTATGTGACTCTGCTTTCTTTTACTACTTCATTTCTTTTATACAAACACACACTCACTCATGTAAAAATCACATGGCACAAAACATTTACATTTACCTTTTACGCATATAAGGGCAAGAAGATTATGACAGATTAAGGCCACTCTCCTACCCACAGACAGTAAGTGGTAGTGTATATGACAGTGAGACTCATGTACCCTCCTCCTCTGTTTCTCTGTTTAGGATGTGTTTCTGATATGCTTCTCACTAGTTAGTCCTGCCTCTTTTGAGAATGTCAGGGCAAAGGTGAGTTCATGACTTTGTATGAACATTTACTTTTGATGTGGCTACCTTTTCCTTTCCTGTAGTGGCATCCTGAAGTTAGTCACCACTGTCCAAACACTCCGATAATTCTGGTAGGAACTAAGTTAGATTTGCGAGATGACAAGGAAACAATTGAGAAGTTGAAAGAAAAGCGTCTTTATCCTGTGACATATACACAGGTAATAGCCAAAGCAATAATGATTACATGTACATGTATGCTGGGATTTTATTCTTTGCATTGCTATTGGAATGTTATCACTTTGTGTCATGGTTGTTATGACTTGCATTTTCATTTCACAGGGTCTTCAAATGATGAAGGAAATGGGTGCTGTTAAATATCTTGAATGCTCTGCTCTCACCCAGAAGGGCCTAAAGACCGTCTTTGATGAAGCAATCCGTGCTGTTCTACAACCTCAAAAATTACCCAAGAAGAAGAAGGGTTGTGCGATATTGTGAAAAATAATTATTTTAAAAAATATGCAACAACGAGCCCTCCTTGATGTGTCGTCTTTCATAAAATTATCATGTTATTTAAATTAACGAACACTAATTATAATAATTATAATACTAATAATATTATGTTTTCTTTTGCACATTTTCTTTCTCATGCAGACTTCTCTTCTAGCAAGTGTAGCTCACTGTAATAATAATTATTATTGATTACGAAGCTTGCTTCTGAACTATTTTTAACTATTATTATTGTTATTTTTTGTTTTCCATTAGTAATAATACTGTAATGGTAATATTAATATTGAATTCTTGTTTGAAAAAAACTGATGATGCTGCAAGTAGTATGGGAGGAGAAGTAGGAGGAGGATAACCTTAAATTAATTAGTTAATCTACAATGGTGTCTCATATTTTGGTGTCCTTTCTGGGCAACAGGATATGGCTCAAAGTACTTCTAATGATCATCTGTATTTCTATGGCCTTTCTCCTTGGCCATTCTTATCTATCCACCACTTCCAGAAGTGTTTTCCCGTCTAGAGTTCGAGCTAATGGAGCCACCTTAGTGGATCACTTGTTACTGGCATCTAATGGTCAAATGAATAGCACCTCCTTCAGTAGCCCCAATCAAGATTCACTCAGCATGCACATGTTGTCTCACGTGGCAAGATCTACCCCAGACTGCAATTCCAGTAGCACTGCCCATACTCTTGGACCAGTCCCTACCCATAGATACATCATAGAGTGGTTTCATTGGGAGCAACTGACAATGGCCACTACCAGTATGATCACACTTTCGTGGTTTGTGTCTCCATGGAATGCTAACGTCATTGAACCTTTCACTTTAAACTCAAGATATTTTGGCATACCACACCCATACAGGAAAAATACACCTCTCTTCTCATTCCTAGACTACGAGAAGTTCAACAGACTATTGTGTAAACATGACATTCCACCAGTTCTTAGGTTTAGCGAGTTTTTGAGATACGCTAATCGAAGAGTTGTTGTAGTTCACCTCCTTTACAATGGCTTTGATATGAGGAGATTTGGTAACAGAGGGGCATCAAGGACTGAGATTTTATCCTTACTGTACAGTAAAGGTGGCCATTATGCAGACTGTAGCGATACTCTGTACATGCAACGAATTGGAAGAGTTTTATTAAAGTGGATTAACCTAATGAGTCCATCACATCCATTTATCATAAGTCACTATTGTTGCATTAATGGATCTCATCCAACCTATCGTGAAGAAATGGCTCAAAATTGCCGTGTACCAAGTGATGGAGATGTAACTGTTGTGTTCACAGATTGGAGAGGACTCAGTCCACTAAAGAATTTTCGTGTGTTTGTTCCAGAGGCTAAGAACATCAATCTACCTCGCCCTTCAATAGATGTGTATCCTTACAGCTCATCAGTCCTCAGAAATGCAAGTGCTTTCTTGAATGCCATGACTAGTGGCTCAGAGTTTGTTGGCGTTCACTGGAGAACAGAGAAACTAGGACAGAAAGGAAATAAATACTTCCTCCAATGCCTAAGTTCAGCTCAACAAATAATACTGAAGATCTTTGATAGACTTGAAGGGAAGATCAACTTGTTGCATTTTTCTGACACTGGTCCTTTTGGGAGTAAGTCCTGTCTTCACAACTGTCTCAGTAATGAGTTTGTTACGTCTTCATTTTCAACTAATGGGATTACCTTAACTCATTACAGTCCAAGTGTGTTTGATGGCATTGGTGACTCAGGATTTGTAGCCAGTGTAGAACAGGAGGCATTGTCAAGAGCTAGAGCACTTGTGCTGGTTGGTGGTGGCTCATTTCAGTCTCAACTTTACACAAGGTATAGACATTATCAGAAGTCATCTCATATCATTTATAAGGTTTGCCACGGTGAATGAGATGACATAAATTCAACCAATGGATCATGACTCATCAAAATTGATTTACAATGTAATAATAAATTTTACAACAAGTTTTTTTCATTAAAATCATTTCTGTGTAATTCTTGGTAAAGTTGTATATTGAGAGTCTGATGATTCAATATTCAATTCTGATGTTGCTGTGTCAAGTGATGAGGGTAGGCTTAGACCTCTTACTCTCTGCAAGTCGTGAATAAACCTTTGTTCTTCCAACAGTTTCTGGTATTGCTTTTCAAGTCGAATTTTCCTTAACTATTATGATATATATTAGAGGACAATTATTTCAGTTGCAAGTACAATAAACAAGCTTTACTTGTAGTCCATTGTTTTTCTCAATAATCTGCTGCAAATTACTCCTAAGTTGTCTGTTCTCTATCCCAATCCTATGAGTCTGTTCCTTGAGACATTCTGCTGCTCTCTATATTATAGCATAATAAGTGCAAGCAGGTACCGGTATATAACTTATATTTTCTTACTTTGTCTGCTTTCTCTGCCATTGCTCGGACTCTTGATTCTGCTTGCCTCTCAAATGATCGTTGTTCTCTAAGGAACTGTGTCTTCAGAGCCCTTACCCTGTTCTCGTGCTGGAACTGTTTCTCTTCAACTTCTTTTTCTAATTTGGCTATTTCATCTTCTTGCTCTTTTTGTAGGGCCTAGTGTTCATCAGTAAAACTGAAAAATAACTGTAGTCAAATGCATCATACCCTGAATGGCTGTAGAGCTTCAAGTTCTTGATTTACCTTTGCCAGTTCACTCTGTTTCTCCAGTAAAATGGAGCTAAGTTCTAGAATGATACAATTAAGTTTCATCAGTGAATCCTGCAGTTAAGGACTTGCCAGATTTCTTCTCATCAAATTGTTTGACTAGTTCTTCTTTTTGCTGCTTAATCTCTTCCAATTCAAGTCGATTCTGATCACCAAGAGAGACTATCAGAGACTGTCTCTTTTGAGCTCTTCTTGAAACAAAAGTTTGATAGTCTTGCTATTATTGGGAGATCATGAACAATAAATGGTTTCACTTCAATCTAATTACATTCTCAAGCTTTGTTCTTTCTGCTTCGCTTTGAAGCCACTCATTCTCTGATTTTCTAAATTCTTTTTGTCAAGGGTGAAAACAATACTGGAAAAGAAGACTGACATTTCACTGAATGCAAAATTAATGTACATGTACATAATAAAAGGATACAGATCATCAACTTGTCTCTTAAGTGCATCCATTTCAATGTCAAGCTCATTTAATCTAAAGTATAAATGGAGTTGGGATCATTGGCACATTGATCACGATCTCACTCTTGTTTTAGTGCCAGTTCTTTGTCTGGTGGGGCAGGAGGCCCAAAGTCCTTCTTTTCACTCTCTCCTTTTCCATCATCTTTTGCAGTGTCTTTCTTTTTCTTGCCTCCTTTTCCATCCTTTTTCTTCTTGCCTTTTGGCATGATCAAAGGTGTAGCATAATAATGTACTCGAAATTGCTGTTCTGTTGTCACAGCAACAAAGATCCACGCCCCTCAAGCTCCGTTTAATTCCGTAAAAGTACTATCTTTTGTAGTATACGGAAACATTACGAGGGTGGAGCTAGCACAATGTGCGTGGGCGTTGGACCAAAGCAAGATCAAGAAGGGCGTACCTGTCCTGCAAATAATGGAGACGCCAAACCTTACACCTCCTTACTTATTTGCAGGAGTAAGTTGTGTAGCATCGTAGCATCATTATAATACATGATTATAGGAGCAGCAGTTTGTCGTACTGGAGTTCAAGAATGAGCTGCCTCTCTCATCAGGGATCATAACACTTACTTTTAATACTAACAGCAGCTACTATGACAGGATCCCAGTCACACCAATTGGACCTAAAGCAGTGAAAGCCCTTTTTCCAGGTTAGCGCATGAACAGACTCATTTACAGTATACATTTATTACAGCTTTCAAAAGAAGTGGAACTTACACTGTAACCCCAAAGTTTGACCTCTCTGAGCAGCAGGCATTCCCTCAATTTAACATTAAAGTTCTCTCTCCATTGGAGGCACTGAGGGTGTGCATGATGGCAAATGCATCATCAACAGATGTCAATTATCGGGGTATTGTAGCAGCTTTTATGGCATATCTCATTAAAATGGAAGAGACTGGTGACAGCGAATCATATGTAAAACTGATCGATGATGTATTTTACACTGCAATTCAAAGAATGGAGATACCACAATCTGACTTATCTACATTTTTAGCTGGTATGTAATGCAATATTTAATGCTATTATTGCTTGTGATTTAGGCCATTATTGCTCAAGTAACTTGCTTCACTTTTCATTGACACACAAGCTACATTGGACTAGTAACTGGCTATCCAATCCTGCCAATGTACCAGCCAGTGAATGGTTTGTTTCACCCAATATTGATGGTCAGACACCAATGGATGTAGCCAAAAATGTTGGATTTCTTAGACATGCAGAATCAATGGAGCAATACATGGTATTATATACATGTACATGTACATGTAAACAACGTATTGAGTTATATGCATGCTATTAGGAAATTGAAGCAAAAGAGAAGAAAAGCATGTGGGAAAAAGTTAAGGTAAAACTCCTTAGTGTAAAAATAATAGTATGTTGATTAAGTAATATATAGGGTCATGCCACTGATGCTGAAGTAAGTTAGAGCACTCTATTTATACTTCATTGTACTATCCATCTGATAGCACTTCAGTTCTGATTTAAGCAGGAAATTCACAAGAAAAATAAGTAAGTGCTGTTAAAGCCAGAGAGACTGGTTTATTTATGTTGTATTTGACAGAGAAGGCTTGGAAAAAAAGATCAAAAGAGAAAGTAAGTTTATTTGATTTGTATGTGTATAGCAGACTAAGACAAGGGGTCACTTGGGAATTATGAGAAACTTCAGAAACTTATAAATAAGGATGTGTTATACATTGTATTTGGGTAGATGTTGTGCAAACACTGTGAACATAAAATTCATAACTTAGTTAATTCTTATGTATTTCCAAATTGTTTTAACAATGTAAATGTACATGTGCTTTCAAAATAAATCTAATTCAGTTTTTATTTTTTGGCCCAAATGGCCTTTATGTTATTCCACTACACATTATGCATTTAATAATTCTAAACCATGCAATCAGGAATTATCTCTAAAACCAAGTGGATCAAGTGGAATAGAACTAGCGGAAAGTTTCATTAATCAATTAAAAGCAACATCCCTCTATTCTGCTGAAGTATCAGAAGAATACACTTGCACTGACAGCATTAGTGGTCACCTCACATTGCAAGTATAAAAATTAATCACATGTATAATAAATTGATTGTAAATGAACAGGTTGGAGATATTGTGTATGTAATACGTGAAGAAAGCAATGGAATGTGCATGGGAGTAGTTGGTGGTCATAATAAATACTGCAAAATGCCAGTACAAATCCTTCAAGCAATATCACAGGTACATGATGGGTACAATGTACTAATAGCTATTCAGAATAACCATCACATGCAGGATACTGACAATACTCAGTCTGACTCTGATGATTCTTCTGTATATGAGCATGTTGAGAACAACAGTTATATTAACAAAGGTGGCTTTCTCAATAAAAAAGTATTGTTGGTGGATTAGTAATCTGCATGTATATATTATATTTATAACATTATTTAGGGGCAGTTGAATGCAGCTTTGAAGTCTCAAAGTTATGAGTCCGGTCTTGATAAAATTCCCAAATCCCATCCTGCTCATATTCCTCTTCCTCCTTCTCCTCCTCCTCCAATTACAACTCGTGTTGAATCAAGACCACCAGCAGTAATCCCAAGAAACAAACCTGGTTGGAATAATACAGAGGCTTCAGTGTACCCAATAGCCTCAAGGCCCATGGTCCCAGTTAAGAAAGGTAGAATCCCAAGGCCACCAGATTCAGACTCAGAAACTGATGAGGAGTATATTGATCAGGCTCAGGCTCAAGCATCACTTCAACCAAGAGACTATTCTCATCCTGTAAGAGAACCTGATCAGCCAAATTTCCCTGTTTTGCCAAAATCCCCAAGACCTTTAGCTCGCGCACTCCCTGCTGTTCCACAAAAGACTCGGTCACCAGAAAAAAAAGAAAATGACTCTTCACATCGCCCACTGCCTGCTGTGCCTAGTCCAACAACACAAAATCCAAAAATAGCTTACCCATTGCCTGCATTGCCTCCAAAGAAGCCACAATCATCAACTCTTAATGAGGTTTCAGGAGAAAAGCCCCTTCCTCCAGTTCCGCAAAAAGCAAATAAAGAACGTCCTCATCAATTTTTACCACCAAAAACAGGAGGACCACAAGCAGTACCTATTCCAATTCCACCTCAGATTCCATTGAGGCAAACTTCAAAGTCTCCTCCTCCAACTCAATCACCTCCTCTTCCTGTGAAGAAAGCAAGGACACCTCCTCTTGTTCCCAAGAAACCAACAACGATCCAGCAAAATTCTCCTGTAGCAAAGAAGAAGCCTATTCCACCACCACGAGTGCCAATTGTTCCACGGAACCGAACTCAAACCAACAACTCGGACAGTGATGAATATGACGATACTATGGCTCTCAGGAAAACTCTAACACCAGAAGAGAAAGCAGAAGTACAAAGCAAAGCAGCATCAGTAAAAGAAATAATATCAAATTTCAACAACTCACAGTGACACCACAATAATAATTCTATGAATGTATTCTTTGGTACCATTTTTAATTTTTACAATAAAGATATAAATACAGATGATAAAGTTTAACATAGAATATAATATATCATGACAAGCATAAGCAAAACAACACAGTTATTGTCCTTGTGTCTGAAGAATGTGATGTGTCTGTGTGATACCATGCACTAATAATTGAACTAATCAAACTAAAGAATGGAAGAGATAAAAAATAATAATAAATAATTATAAATTTTGTTATCACATACCAATCTCATGGAAGGGCCGGGACTGTCTGCAAAAGAATTGTCTAAATTTTCTTTATCTACAAAAATTTAAAGTACAAAAAATAACAGGTAACAACACATCTATTCTGCAAACCTGGTGAATCTTGGAATATCCTGTGTGAAAACTTCTTGCGAAGAGCATGAGCAATAACAGCTGCTGGGTCGTCCATTGATGGCTCCCTTGAGACAGTTTGATGAGGTCGAAATGGTGTACCTCCAGGTGACCTATACAAAAAATAATTATCATTCATTAATTATTTTTATATTGCTCCACAGATACCAAAGTCCCTGTACTATAATACATGTACATGGTCTTTAGCCAAATTTCACTTAAGCTCAACATACACTGAGCAACTTTGTTGCCAGTACCTTTGATGTGGTGAGGCAACTTGTTGCCAGAAGTTGAGAGTTTCTCTACTTTCTGCAACATGTTGCCCAGTGTTGCTCAACCATATCAAAGGTCTGACAACGAGTTGCCAGCAACAAAGTTGCTCAGTGTATGTTGGGCTTAAAAGAGAATTCCCCACTTTATGTATATATACATAATACATATGTACTGCATAGAAACTTTGGGCAGATTCTAATCAAAATTGAATTTTTACTAATTTTTAAAAGTTGCTCATAAGCCAAACATGTTGCAGCATTGTGCAAGATAAGAATAACAAACACCGCTTAAACTTGCTCAGAAATAACTCTGTGCCTATTTCTGATACATGTACATGTACACATCGATAAAGTTAAAATAATACCTTTTCATGTCAAGCTTTCTTAGTTTGACACTTCCAATCTCATCGCTAATATTAACATGATGAGTAGCTGTGGAGGAAGCAGTCGAATCTATGCCACCATCTTGTTGCTGAGGATTAACGGTTTGTTCTCCCTATCAAGAAATGAATAAAGGAAGAACTCTAATAAAAGTTGTTCGTACAGTAGTCGAGTCTGGAAGAGGAGGAGGGGGAGGAGGAGCAGGAGGAGGAGCAGCTACAGTAAATAAATAATATTAAAATTAATATAAATTTTTATTTATTTCACCATCATTCTGTTCCATTAACGAGTAGAGTGCAATCTGGGATTTGAGACGAGCTAATTCTGATTCAAGGGACGTTAGCTTCTCAGTCGCTTCTATTAATAGTAACAATTACATAATTAATACAAAATTACTGTTACTAATTATAGACACACATAAGATGTACACTGTACTAACCAGCTTTCTCTCTCGCTAGTTTCTCCTGAGGGTCGTCAGATTCTTCTTCGTCAATCGACTCCAAACGAGAAAATCTTTTAGTAAGAGTTGGAAGACCAGAGTCTCTCAGTAACGCTAAAGGACCTTCGTCATCAAAAGACCCTCCTCCTGATACCATCGGGGAAGCTAGTTGAGACCCAGGTAGCTATAAAGAGCAATGTACTAGTAATATGCACACACATACATACATAAGGTATATATTACCTGTACATATAGTCTATGTGTTGAATCTATGGGTAGTCTAGTGCCAATCATACGAACAATGCTACGATTAGAACCATACACTCTCTATATTAAGAATATAAATTAGGTAATTTTAAAGGATCTGTATAAACACTGGTTGGCTTACAATAGTCTCTTCTGGTCCTCTTTTACCTCCTGCCATTTTTTACAAGCTCCTCCTACTAGGCGGAGTAGGATCACGTGACTCTCGTTTAGTAAAGTTATTGAAATTTGCAGGTCAGTGAGGTCACGTGATCTTTTGTAGGAACACTCAGAACAGACTGTCGACTGTGTGTCCTTTCTCGGCTTCCAAGTTTAGAATTTGTCAGTAAAAGTTCGAGAGATACAAATACACGAAGAGAGACTTCTCCTTGGACCTTAATAAATCCATTCTCTTAAGAGGCAAGTGGGATTTTTGCAGGGGCCATTTAGCCAGAAGCCCCTCCTTCGCCCTCCTTCTTCTAGACTAAACTAAAAGCTGACATGGACAATCTAAAAGTAGTCAGGGAGCTCCGTGATTTGGCTGCTGTCCCTCAAAACAGGGCTACAATCGTCAGGGTAAGCCAGCTCACGAATGAATGGTTTATAATTTTTTGAATGCAATAAATATAATTGATTTCTAATTGTGCATCTAATGATTTTAATAGTTGCCTAATGAATAATGATATCATTCTAAATGTACTTAATGTGCCAACTTTATAGGATCGTGGCTGTCTACCTGGTCTAGTATTGTTCCTTGATAATTCCAATCAAGAAGTTGTGGCAACTGCTTTAGAGGTATTAATTGATTTATTGAACACAAGCAATGACAATGGGGACATTGTACATGTACACACACACACACACCCACATATAAGGATTAGTGTGATAGTAGCTAGCTAGCAATGCTTATTTGCGTCACTGTAGTATCATTTACAAGTGTTTATATGATCAAATATGCCATTGAGATATGCTGTTATCATTACATTGCAATGTGCAATAATGACACGCATGCACACACACACACTCTCTCTCAATCATTTATGTAGGAGTAGCATTACTAGTTGTGATAGTTTTATTAATCATATACATGTACGTGTATTTCTTTTTATTAGGCATTGCATTATTTAGCACAGACGCATTCCAATCGCTCGATAATGAAGAATGAAGTTGGACTTGTTATCAGTTTAAGGAGCATCATGGAGAGGTATGCAGAGAGAGAGAGAGGGTGAAAGGGTGAGGGAGGGTGCAAAAGAGTGAATATTGTATTACTGCCACTTATTAAATTATATTCTGTTGCCAAGCATTTAAAGTGGGTCAGTCTGAGTATTGTATATACATGTACATGTACATAACTTTGATTTTCATTTTACTGTTTGCATACATAAAACATATAAAGTCATGTATTAGTGTATGTGCTTCATGTTGTGATTGTGTTATTCAATAGGTCGGATTATGATCCTAATGTTGTCCAATTGGCTGATAGCATTCATCGTTTGCTTATTCCTCCTGCTGGAGCAGTGACAAGGTATTAAAGTTTGACCTAATTTTGAATAATTTTGTCATGATAATTTTTTAAAAATACACATACAGTCAAACTTCTCTAAGACGGACACCTATGGGCCAGCCATGACTGTCCTTTATACGGAGGTGTCCTTAAATTGGAGGTTATCCCATGCTAATCAGACCAGAAAATTTGCCATTTTCTTGATGCGCGTTAATTAGAAAGTTCGTTGTGTGAGACGTATCCGTCCATTGGAAGTTAATTTGTACACGTGTGGGGACAGTAAATGTCGTCCGTTATACAGAATAGAGAGGTTCCGCTATATAGAGGTTCTTTTATACACTACCCAATGGCCTTATGACCAGAACAAGAGCAACTGTATGTTATAGAGAGGTATCTGCTAATTGGGGGTTCGTTTTAGAGAGGTTTGACTGTATTGCTGTTATGGGCTAGTAAGTAGCTCATGATTTTTTTTAAATTGGTTCAAAATTACTTGCCCTGCATTTTTATTACATTTTATGATACATATTGATGTCCTTGTGCTATGTAGTAAATTTGAACTATTTTTGAAAAATACTTTTAGAGTTTTGGCCATTTTTTAAATTGACCGATTTTTGAAAAATAGCAAAGGCTATAGCCCATGGTTTTTCTTTAAAATGGCTCCGAAATCACCCCAAATTTTTATTACATTTTATTATGCATATTGATGTCCTTATGCTATGTAGCAAGTTTTGAGTTTTTTTCGACGAATACTTTTAAAATTGGTGACAAGTGTGCTATTTTAGTTGTAATTACTATGGTAGTTTTAGTTTTAGTTATTGTTATAAGCACTCAGGAATTTGGATTTTAGTTTTAGTTTAGTAAAAGAAGATAGCTCACTAAAATAGGTCTTAGTTTTAATAAGAGCTGATTTTAGTTATTGTTAACTAAAACAACACTAATTTTCCGATGCATATTGATGTCCTTATGCTATGTAGAAAGATTAACTAAAATTATTATGGCCATTTTTAATAGCAAATTTTTAAAGAAAATAACAGCCTATCACATTTTGATTGTCTATTGATTCTCTTAATCTCACACATTGTATTTATATGTATTCAGGATGGCCCTAACTTGAGCTGTTGTTTTTACCTGTAGGCCTTTAGCTCAAGCAAGAGGAGGAGCTGCTGCTAGAAGTGGGAGTAATACTTTTTTGGGTGCCTCAAACAGGAAAGCAAGAACTATTGTATTACAAGTCTCTGGTCTCGTTGATCAAGTGAGAGGGAGAGCATACACATAGCCGCATACAGAACAAGTTTACTTTTGTTTTATATTATAATTTTACTCACTATTGTTTAGGAAACAAGGTCAATTGTTGAAGACAGTCTGCTCACAGTGAAGGGTGTTGTCAGCTTCACTATTGATATTGGTAGACAGAGATGTACAGTCAGACTCAGAAGTGATTTGAAGCCAGAGGTAGGTATATTCACCATTTCTTATATTATGCCCATCATTTATCCTCCTACTTCTTATCCCTCAGTTGTTATGTGAAGCCATTAATGGGACCGGGATACTGCTGGCACAACAAGTAGTTAAGAATGAGCTAGGGGAAGAGGTAAGTAATTATTCATTATTTTCTTTTATTGCCTTTCTATTCTCAGGTCCTCCTCTCGTTTGGGTCTACACCTCAAGCTCACGTACAGGACGAGAAAGAAAACAGTCGACCAATGAGAGTAAGTGTTACCTAGCAACCTCAATGAGTTGTATTAATTAATCCTGGCTGCCAATAATTACTATATTTTCATAGTTGCCGGAATATTTACCAGAAGAGGATCAACTTGATGAAGACAAGGTATAGTTTAGTGGAGTATTAGTAAAAGTAGAAATGAAACAAAACCAGAAACGGAAAGAAATGCCATTAAGCAATCTCCCAATGTAATTTTTGTTAGGAGTCCCCTAGTTTTTTCTGTTCTGGTTTCTTTTCGTTTCTGTTTTTGTTTCGTTTCTACTTTTACTACGACCCTATTTTGGTGTGCACAATCATGCATTCACTGTGTGTGTGTTTATCGTTTTTCTTGTGCAAATTGTAGTGTATTTATTTTTGATAAGTAAATGTTTTTTTATAAATTATTTTAGGCAATAGAGAAGAGTGGGGCTGTCGGTGAAGGTGGTGGTTGGCTGAGCTCTGTTACCGGATTTATTGGCAAAGCTTTCTATTGGTAGCAGCAGGACTCAACCGGTCACTTATTGCACTATCATCAACCTGAACCAACCTTTCCATTTACTGTGTTTTAGTAATCATCTTTCTTCTCTTTTCTGTCTCTCCTGGCATGTTTCTCTCTCTTCTTGTATAAATATCAACTCGACAGCAATCTTATATGCACTTCGTCTCATTTGAGTTTGTACTGTGTGTATGTGTATGATTAATTTCATGTAATAACAGACCAGTTATGGTTATTGTTATTAATACTATAATAAAATTAATTGGGCACCCCCTCAGTTATACGTTAAGGGTCAACACGCAGTCATTCGGCTCCAGTTGTAGCTCCCGCCACCTTGTTGCAACTACTACTGCCAAGTGCCAACTCGGTCTTGCTTTGTCGAGAATGAGTGCTTTGGAGAAGTAAGCCGGACATTTCGTGTTTTACTACTTTTCTTTTATACAGCTTTCAACTTTCCGGGAGTTTTATACTGTTTGGAATTGCTGTGAGCACACAATAGATATATATTTAGGCCACTCCAATTTGATTCCTTGTTTCCCATTACCCGCCCGCATGGGGCCGCATCGCTATTCATTATTGCGGTTTTTCATTGATTATACAAGCAATTTATACAGCTGATAATGAATAAATTTAATGAAAATGAACAAACCCGCCCGCCCGCATCAGGCCCGCCTCTGTAATGGGAAACTATGAATCTTATTGGAGTGGCCTTATGAGCACGCATCAGTGTCATCAAATGCTATGGGACCAAAATTTATCTTGATCCATTCCGTGCTTATAAAGTTCGTTTTGCTTGTGTGCAGGTGGTTGTACTAATCGTGTTGAGCTTCTCACAAAGAAGAGCAAAGAAAGGTTTGAGTACCTGTAATGGAGTCCCAGGGATTGTACCGTGAGTTTTAAGTTCCACTCCATAAACCTCCCAAAAATTTGGTCTGCCCCTCCCTCACATTAGATCTGTTGCATACTTTGTTTTCGTACAACAGCTTTCTTAATAGTGTATATGTATCTAATGGTTTACACAATAGTCCTATCAATTTTCTGAATCCAAGACATCGCTTGGTGTATGTCCTTGCGTGTGGACTAGTGGCCTCTTCATTATTGAATATCATCCTTCAGTCTTCATCATCAGTTGAAGTAGAAAACAAGTGGTTCAAAGACATTGTTCAAAGTACATTTTGTTAATTCATTACCCAATTCTGCTATTGTGTTCATTTATAGATATCTATATTGTTTTTTTCATACTTGTGCTTGTCATTCAGACATATCCATTATTAGCTTGTGTTCAGTCACCTATACCACTGCTGGGGTATAGCTTAGGGGCTCTGTACACTATTGTATAGTGAGTATCATTATTTGATATTAATTGTACAAATACTATTCTTTTTCCTAGTCTTGTATATGTCATAGTTTACTATGGGCTGAGCATGAACATTATTTTTAGAAGTGCTCTAATTCAACAATTTAAAAACCTAAATGTGTGTACAATATTATTATTTCATTTTTTATGAATACTGTCTCTACAGTATGCTACAAATACTATGACAGTTTTGCCTCAGATATTGTGTCTGATTGGTGTCACTATATGGTATCTTTATAAGCTAATTAAAGAGATTGTGAGATTATGTAGAGCTGATAGTGACTGGAGAGAAGCAGTGAGTTACCATGAGTCACTCATGCAAGAAAGGAGACAACATATCTTCTTAGATCACTCAACAACCTGAATCTGAAAACCAGATCAATTATGTAAAGCATTTGCTACAAAGGTCTGCAGCTATTAATTTTTCCTAGTTAATCATTATTGTTTTTATGATTAATAGGAATCCTGTTAAAATCAAGAAATACTTCTTCTCAGGTACAACTACTTTGTTTATAT